GGATAGATTACTCCTACAGGAGGAGGAGACACTGCCACTCTTGCTACAATCCATTTTTTGAAAAGGAATTGCTGTTGTCTGATGCCTTCTTAGCTTTTCATAAGCTTTTTTTTTATTATTCATCTGTATTCAAACAATGACCGCAGTGCAGATCAGGAAGTGTTGGACCAATTATCCATAATCACAGATGTCTGCCGGCTACACCTGAAGCCCTTGAAAGATTGGCTGCTGGCCCTGGGGGTTTTGTCAGCAGATGATAGCTGATGAGTTCTCAGATTGCTCGAAAACCAATCAGCCAGCAGACCAAGAAGGACAAGGGAGCATTTAGCAGCTAAAAAGTCCTACGTCTCTATTAGGAATTAGTAGAAACCAAAATCAGAGCCCGAGTACTGAAGCCAGGACTGAACATGCGTAGGGAAATACATGAAAAAATTAAATAAAATAAAATATACTCTCCCCAGTTATACAGAAACATGTCATTTTCAGTCCGCTGAATGACTCAATTTTCAATTAGATTTTTTCATATTATTCTGCACTGACAATAATAAGGACATTACAGAATTGTTTAAATATATTCAGTATTATCGTAATGAGGCAGAATTTATCCAATTAAAGATGGATCGTAGTTGTTAATTTGTCTTCGAAAAGAGCAGAATAAAAAAGAAAAAAAGAAAGACTCTTTGTATGTGCACTGTAAAGTGCAAATTCTCAAAAATGTAATGAGCAGAATTATCCCACAAAAGAGCAGCTCTTCTACTTTTTGAGTCATTTGTATGTGGCAAACTATTTCAGTGGAGCGTAGCTCTTCTTTTATAGATATTTGCCTCACAAAGACCGTCAAGGCTATTGTTCTGAATGTAGGTAATATGTCTTTCATTCTTTTAAGGGACTGTATTGAGTTTATGTAACATGTTAATTGGACTAATCAGGCAAAATGCAGTTTGCAAAACTGAGCAAAAATCCTTCCTTTATCACTGTCTGAATGAACTAAATTAGATGATGCTAACATGCTTATTTGCTTTTACATATTGCAGGGCAGCACTGGAGCTTACACAGACATGCACAGTGTTATTGTGTGTGTATCTGTCTGCTGCAGTGAATGATAGAAAGAATAAAACAGGAGATCTCACGGTAGAAAGCTGCATGGATGCAAGTGTTACTGAGCCTATGTGTTTGTGTTATAGTGTAGTTGAAAGATAAAGATAGAGAGAGATTATGCTGGGAGTCAAATGAGGGAATGAATGCATGAGAGGGTGAGGAAGAGAGAAAGAGAGAAATTGGGTCAGTGATCTGCACAGCAGTGTATTAACTTGACATCACATTACACACTTTTTCCCCTCCTGTTTACCCCTATGGAAAATTTGTTTTCATCCTTTTATATGACAAATGAATCCATTTTATTTTGCCTGTTTACAAATGTCATCTTCTGTTATTCCCAGGGTCTGTTATCTTTGATTTTATTAATCGCATTGCCCTTAATTCATTAATTCATTCTGATATGAAAAATTTCTTAAATGCCAGTGATCATTAATGTGTTTCGATTAGCAGATGGATTAATTGAATTATCACTTTTAGATTGTGATAAAGAAATACAATGTGAATTTGTGACATTGTGACAGTTTGTGGATTGTCATCTGTGAACCTTTCCTGAATTGTATGAAGCAATGGCATGTGCCTTTGTGGTCACGATGGCGATTATTTGTCTGCCTCGTTGTTTTTGAAACATGGAGGGAAGGTGGATACGGTCGGGGGGAGGGGGAAGGTTGCAGATCAAGCAGGAGGGCAGAGGGCTGGCAAACTCATTGGCTGTTGTAATCAGGTGGCTTTGAGGATGAGGAGGATTTGGACGCTGGCGCTTGGATCGGCAGCAATGAAGTGCTGTACCGCAGTCATGTTTCAGGCTGGAGCCATACCAGAACACATCTGTTAATGTACATGTGAGACATGAATGATTAAATATTTTTAATTCCCGTCTCCCCGTCTGTTGTTATCCTCCTAATTTTTTGCCCTTTAATTTCACCAATTCTCCAGCATCGGCCTGTTCTTATGTAATCCCACCGTTCCTCTGTGTTTGTCCATCCTTCTACACGTCTGCAGTCTCTCAACACCTGTTCACTTCCCTCCATCTCTTTTTTCCCTCTTAACACCTGTTTGATAGCAGAGTGAGCTCCAAGAGACAAGTGAGAACACAGAAAGGCTTTTAACTGTTTATTCCGCCCATCTTTCACATCTTGGCTTTTTATATCCTCCGCCCTTGCAGCCCCACGCCCGTGCACTGTACATACATGCAGCCACTGACTCATTCAGCATGTCAAGCTTCACACACACTTCGTCTTTTTGACAAGGTTATATAAATAAGGTCAGAGGTTCAATCCCACTGACCAGACACACACACACACACACACTCTTTCATCCTCCAACTCGAGGAGAACTGTTTAAAAGCATACAAGGGAACTCTTCTTTTAAAGCTGCCTCTGGTGGTGTCAGCTGTGCCATTTACACAGTCTAAAATACAAGAGAGCAGGTATGTGCGCACGAAGTGCAAAAACCCCTACATTTAGCATACAGACAAAGTGACCCCATTTTGAACGACGCAACCTTTAGCAGACACGGTTTTAGGCATAACACACACACACACACCCACATGCTGAGTGTGAAAATGGCAGGGGACCAGCCTGGAGGCTGGACGGCTGGTCAGAGCGAGCACTCGAGGTTCTGGCAGCATGAGGTGATGTGTCAGTCACCTCAGCCTCAGCTTTCCCGCAGCTCTCACTAACAATTGACAGTTTTGATAGGTTTTTCACTTGAAAACACATTGGTTCAGAATGGCTGTGTGCAGACTCAAACCATGTTTTTATGTAAGTGAGTGAGTATGAGACAAGAGGTTTGTTCAGTTTGTTATTTTAATAAAATGATTCCTACACACTGCATTAACATCGTGAACTATTTAATTTTCAAGGTATGAAATTATAAATAATTTCTTACAGATTTGAATGCAGCAACTATAGATGCACATATTGGATTTTTATTAATCTTTCTTCCTGTAAGTACATCATCATCAATAGATTATTTATAGAACTATTGTTAAAAAGTTACAAAGTTAGTATTGGAATCTTGATTTATTACTAATCAAGAAAAATATCCTTCATTAATATCTGTATACATTTAATTTATTCTCCAATGAATCATTATATATTACATTAATGGACCGTAGCAGATTATGGATAATGGACTTTGGTTAGTCACAAAGCCAAAACCTCTTCTAATTTCTTTTTCTTTCTTTTTTAAAAAAAAGAAATTGCACTTTAAAGAAAATAAAATAAAATCATTAAAGATGTTAAAATAAAATTTTCTTTTTAACTCATTGCATGCTCCTTTTCTTTGCATACATTTAACATTGTGTCGCGACAAGGTGTCAAACATTTTAACACAAAAATAAGTAATTGGATACGTTTTTTTTTTATATTCTTTGGTCAATACAAATACTTTACAATATACATTTTTAATCACTTTTTAAAAATCCATTGTAATAAATGTTCAAACATTTTTTAAATGGAATCATGCAAGATTCAGATTAGTTAACATTACCAAAATTTTATAAAACATGTAGAGCAAAACAGAATTTGTGTAATGCAAATAATCAACAGGGCATCAATTAGTCTGTAGCCATAACTGGTTATTTTGGAATCATGCAGCTTCTTTTAATATATGAGCCGTGATCAAGACAGTGAAATGCAGTCGGGGCGGCAAGCCTGAAACTCTTCAAAGTGCTTGTCAGCTCCTCTAGAGCTCACAACTTAACTCATTTGATCATTTCTTTAATGTGTACGCAGGGGATTGCGGCTGCTTCCCCCTGTTTCCAGTCTGCTGAGTTGAGCCGGTTGAGTCTGAATGTTCATAGTTTGTGAGAAAGGCCCGTCTTCATAACGCATGTGTGACTGCATTCTGTTAGCGTGGGCCACTTCCCCTGTAAACACGAGTAAATGATAGTGTCCAACAAAGCCAACAACACACAAAAGACGACAAGGTTGAACTTTTGAACCAAAGAGAACCACAAGCCAAGATGAAATTGCCACTTAACTCCAAACCAGTTATTGCTGTATTTTTTTAGTGGATCGAACTGACCAAAAGCAATTTTAAATAAAGAGACGACATAAAAGGATATGGTGACTTCTGATCTGAGAATGACTCAAACCATTCAAAGGCTGTGCCTCCAAAAAATAGAGTATGATGTGGATAAAGTGCTGTGATGAATGCCAGATGTTTTTTTTTCATGTGTTCTTATATCTTTCCTCTGTAGGTTCAATTTATATCCACAAATCTGTGCAAGAGAAAAAACAGAGCTATCTGAGGGGCCATCTCAGTGTTTTAGAGATTCATATGGATATTTGATATTCAACCATAATAAGTCAGCAGTAATAAGCGGGGATCACGATGAAAGCTCTGGAACAGGAGGATCCCGCTCAGGTCCCGGAGGGCAGTTGGCCTGTAGGTTTTAGAAGTCCCCCTGCTTCAGCACAACCAGCAGGAAAGCAGCCCTCGAGGAGTAGATTAGCCCTGCTTTAGAGCATGTAAGACGGCCCAGAGAAATGTTGTTTCATCTGCTGCTGTTCCGACACCCTGGCTGACAGTAACACCTTTCAAATTTGTTTAGCCCGCAAATTGGACTGACAGTAATATTTTATCTTAAACCTTGCTTTTATGACTCACAGCCTCAGGAGGCCCTCTCATTTTTGTTTTTAATCTGCTTGCTTCTCAGTCCTTCAAAAACAACTCTAGCAAAAACTTTAAAAAAGTGTGGAAAAAAACAACGCTGCCGCATAGAAATCCTGCAGGCACTGATTTCTCTATGTGATTCCACATTGTGACTATAGTTAAACATTCTTGTGCCTCTTCTTGTCTCTCTGCAGCCTGTCCTGTTGGCTACTTCAAGTCCCTTTCTGGCTCTGCTCCCTGCACTGTGTGTCCACCCAACAGCAGAACCAGCCAGGAGGGATCGACTGTGTGTGAATGTCGCAGCGGCTTTTATCGGGCAGCCGGTGATGCCAACTCTTCTGCCTGCACAAGTGAGCTTCATGTGTTTGTTTGTTTGTGCCCAACTCTACATGAGGTGTGCAAGGGGCCCTGGTTAAGTCATTTGGCACAGACTCAATCTGTGAGCGCATAGATACTTTTTCACCTGACCTAAATCCATTTTTATGATGGAAAATCTAGTATTTAAATTTCACCGTAAGAAAAAAAAAACTTTTTAAAGTATGGAGTTTGGGTGTTCATTTTTCTTAAATGACTATCAACCTTTTTTTCCATCACTTTTATTTGGATAAATGACTTTGCCAGCACTTAGCTCTCTCAAATTTTAAACTTTTGAGCAGATGCTTTAATCTACGTGTCCACCGCTTCTATTTTACAAGTAAAACCCCTCCCTTTCTCTCGGTTCCCCCTTAGCTCCTCCGTCTGCTCCGGTTTCTCCATCCTGGGAGTACGAAAGCGGCGATGGGGGAGTGTCCTTAAGGTGGCGGCCTCCGGTGGACATGGGGGGTCGCGGTGAAGTTTGGTATGGGGTGGTGTGTCGCATCTGCCCCTCGCCCACCTTCACAAACCCAGCGGCGTGCTCCTGGTGTGGAGAGGGCGTCACCTTCAGCCCATCCCAGACCAACCTGAAACGCACCAAAGTCACCCTCAACAACCTCCTAACCAGAGTCACCTATCTCATACAGGTGCTGTGAAAAAAAAAAGGATCATGTTGTCATTCTGCATCTTGTAATCGTCTCTTTTAGAGCAGGGATAAACAATTGTTTTACAAATGATGTTTTCCTGTACTGAATTGCTGTTCCATGATTCCATCAATGAATATGGACATTATAGTGAACAGTGTTCCATTTTCAGCATTTTCAGAGGTTGGAGGCAGAGTTTCTGAGCTGTGTTACTTCATATGCTCCACATCAGGAAAAACACACATTTAATTATTTAGCCCGGCATAGCTCAACTAAATCACAGCTTATTTTTTATTCATAATGAGCAGATATTTCAGTTTATGAGTTTGTGTTCATTGGCCAGGGAAAATCCTCTGTGCTTATCTATGTTTCTCATGAATGTCATGAGATACGGGCGTCAAAACCATGTGTGTTCTTCATATTGACAGGTGCAAGCCATGAATGAAGTGTCAGCTTTGAGCCCTTTTCCAGCTCGATACACAAGCATCAATTTCACCACCAGCCAGTCAGGTGAGAACTGGACAGAGAAGGGGAAAAAGATTGAATGGATGAAGAGGAGATCCTCTGATGATGATGTTTGTATGTGTCTGTGAGGGGGTTCCCGCTCCCCATCACTCTCAGTCTCTCGCCTCCATCTTTTCTGTTCTCGCTCTCTGGACAGGAGGTTGCTCGAGGTTACAGTATCCTGTCAGATCTCATTATATTCACAGTGGAGGAAGAAAGGGACAAATGAGAGATGGGAAGACAAAGAGACAGACAGAAAGAGAGATCAAAGCAAATGAGTAGGGAGAGGAGAAGAGAATGACCCATTGTGCTGTGCAGCGCATCTTTGTGCACCTTTCCAAGAAACCAATCTCAATAAAGCAGCGTCTCAATTTGCTTCATTACCTAGAATCTTCTTGTATCTGCTCCCAGAGTTTATTGATTAAGTGAGTGGAATGTTCCCTTTAACTGGACTAGCCTGCCGGCACAGTGATTGTAATAAGATCTGGCTTGGCACTGGATAAAACCTCGCTCTCAGGCTCCAATAAACGGCCCCTACAGCTTCTGTAACACTGCCCCCATGTGGTTACTGCCACTTCAACACAGCTCTGCTGTCGGACGGTTATGAATGATCAGTTGTCTCTTGTCCCACACAGTTCCTAGTACAGTTCCCATGATGCACCAGCTGAGCCGTGCTCCAGACTCCATCATTCTTTCGTGGCCTCAGCCGGACCGGCCCAACGGAGACATCCTGGAGTACCAACTCAGATACTATGACAAGGCATGTGAGCACATAAACACCTTTTCCCCAACACGGTTATCATATCGATGGAAAGGAAATCAATACATACACAACAAGAGTCCCTTAAAGTGTTTGATCTGTGTCCTTCAGGGCTCAGATGTGGACAGTGCGCTCACTGTGTACAGTGAGACCAACACAGTGACCGTCAACTCTCTGATTCCCGGTTCCATCTACGCCTTCCAGATCAGAGCTCGAAATGAGAGAGGCTATGGCCCCTATAGCAACACCATCTACTTCACAACTCTTCCTCTGGGTAACACGATTACACTGAAATCAATGTTAAATAAATACCCAACAATACTTGTGAAATTTGCATTTAGATAGCGAGGTCCCACCAGTGCATGAGAAGAAAGTGAGATCATTCTGAGAAACTAGAACTTATGAATAAATCATTGGCTGAAAGTAGCACGACAGAAATGTGGGGAAAAGTGTCAGCAATGCACATTTCAAAGCAAATTGTTGTTGACTTAAATGTTATACGGCTGGAACGTTGTGATGAATGTAGCTAAAAGTACAAGAACAGTCCTCTTAGCTGAGCATTCAGGTTTCATTGTCCATCTCATTCAAATCCAAACCTGTCTTGGCACATTTGAGTCCATTGTTCAGTAGCTGATGCCAAATCTTAAGGGGTGTAGTGTTGAAATCTGTGGTGAGTCTGACTGGTGGAAAAATGTATTTAAAGCACACAATACTCATGCTGGGAGGAGGTATTTGATGATATTAAATTGCTCTTTTTTATATATTCGTTTTTAAGGCATGAGGATCACTCAACAGTTAAATTATTTTCCAATTCATCTTGCTCAAAGAGAACCATAAATAAGGGATTTTTTTTCCTTCGATTGGTTATATCTAGAGCTCAATTGTATTTGCGGGCAGGAAACTATAAAAGTCACAGTTTCAGTATTTCCTATTTTAACTCATGTATTTCAATATTTAAAGTGCAAGAGTCAAGCGATATGAACTGTTCACACCTATCAGTCATTCTTTGATGCTTCCTTCACAAAGTGTATCCTGCCTGTTTCACAGTTTTCCATGAATCCTGGTTTCATCATTCCAGGTTTGCTTTTGGAAAATTAAGACATGAATTCAGACACTTTGACACATTCCCACTGACATTCTAACTCACAATGAACTACGGGATTATGTTACTATAAAGACTACATGAACAACCACATTGATAAGAACTTCAACTTGAATTAGTGGGGGACATTTTCTTCAAAGGGTGATTTTTAAAATAAGAAAAAAACAGTCTTGCCTTTTGACTCTCCCACAGAGGAGCATTCCCAGCAGATCCAGAATCGGCTTCCTCTGCTGGTGGGCTCAGTGATGGGTGGAGCAGCGTTTCTCCTTGTTGTTGCGGCGATTGTGGTTGTCGTTGTGTTTCGCAGGTAGGTCTTGTGAACATGCGAGTGGTCGTGCATAACAAGGGTTTCCTTGATCCTGTGGAAATTCACAGACTTTTCCTTCACATGACAGCAAGAGGAGAGAGAGTCCTTACAGCGACAGACTTCAGAGGTACATCAGTAACAGGGGTAAGAAGATTTAATCAAAGCTATCTAAATCATTTTAAAAGTTTATTTCTTTTTCAAATTAATTTACAATTGTCAAATAAGTGTTTTACCCACATCCTGTAGATTATTTGTAACAATTGCGGGTTTAGTTTCTATAATTCTCAAATTATTTACACAACATTACTATGTTTACTATGTTCATAGTAAAAGGGGAGAGATTGTAGAGCTTTGCAATATAATGACCAAGAAGATCTGGAGTCAGGAAGCTGCTGGGCTTTTATCAGATATACTGTATTACATATAACTCTGAAAGGGACACACAGTACCCACAATGAGAGATTAAATCGTAAAATAAATTATTTTAAATGAAAAACCCACATACCTGGGCCACGAAGAGATGGAAAATGATGATAAAATAAATAAATAAGACCTGAAGCAGCCAAGAACAGATGGAAAAAAACTAAGGCTGAAATTCAGATAAATGAGGCACAAAAGAAAATAAAATCTGGCAAACATGAAAAGACAAGACTGTAATCAGAACTTGTAATCAGCACAATAAGCTGCAGAATGACCAAACAAAATGCTGATAAATCCAAAATGGACTGAAGCTGTGATGCAAAATGAGCTGTCAACAAGATAAATACAACAAAGAAACAAAAAACATCAGACTAGATATAAGAGCTGAAGTTACCAACAAAAACAGAATGTGGTCCAAATCAGTGCTTTTCAATTCCAGGTGGAGTGAAGTATTATGTGGACCCATCCACATATGAGGACCCAAGTGAGGCGGTTAAGGAATTTGCCCGTGAGATAGACCCCTCTCACCTCAAGATTGAGGAGGTGATTGGTGCAGGTAGGCCTGCTTTTGCTGTTGTCTTTCAAACATCTCTTTGCCGTGTGGTCGCTGGCAGTGTCTGTAACTGGTTCCTTTGCCTCTCCTCTCCAGCCCAGTTCGGCGAGGTTTCTCGTGGTCGCTACCGCCCAGTGGGCCGCCGAGAGGTGTTGGTGGCCGTAAAGACTCTACGCTGGGGGGCGTCTGACAGGGAAAGGGGGATGTTCCTCAGTGAGGCCGGAGTTCTGGGACAGTTTGACCACCCCAACGTGCTGAAGTTAGAGGGCGTTGTCACCCGAACGCCTCCAGAGAGAATCATCACTGAGTTCATGGAGAACGGGCCTCTTGATGGCTTCCTCAGGGTGAGAGAGCATCAGAGTTAGTCTTTTTTTGCCTGCACCATGTCATTATACAGTAAAAATCCAAACCTCTGCTCCCCGTCCTTCATCCGGTCATTTACAGGAGAACGAAGGCCAGTTCAGTGTCCTCCAACTTGTGGGGATGCTCAGGGGAGTCGGAGCAGGGATGCGTTACCTCTCAGAGAGAAACTTTGTCCACCGAGACCTGGCAGCCAGAAATGTGTTGGTCAACTCTAATTTGGTCTGCAAAGTGTCTGACTTTGGCCTCTCCAGACTAATGAGGGGGCTGGACCACAACATACCTACGTACACCGCCTCTCTGGTACGATCGAAGAAGCGAATCTAGTCTTTTTTTATCACTTTTTATCAATTTTCTTCTGTTATCGCAGCCTGAACGTCATTCAGAGGTAAATGTATCAGTTGCCTCTCTTCTGATCCATCAGGGCAGTAAGATTCCTGTGAGGTGGACAGCTCCAGAAGCCTTTCAGCATCGGAAGTTCAGCTCAGCCAGCGATGTGTGGAGCTTCGGCATACTGATGTGGGAAGTGATGTCCTATGGAGAGCGCCCGTACTGGGACATGAGTAATCAAGAGGTGAAGAAGAATTTATAATCTGTTAGAGATGAAAAGGCACTCCAATCCTTAATCATAGGTGTTTCAATAAAGTCTGTAGAGCGTGATAATCTGTGATTAGAAAATAAAGGTTCTCAGTCACCCGCTGCCCTCAATGTCAGATCACTAAGTACAAGGACCTTGGTTGCAACTCTTGGTCCTCTCACTTCCTCTCTTTGGTCTACAAGCTGCTGCTTTTCAAAGCACTTAAGATGCATCAATGGAAAACATATTTAGTTTTCAACTAGATATGAAACATTTATCCTCCAAAATTATTGGTGTGATTTGCCTTTCTATTTTTTAAAAAGAGATCAATAAGCAGCTCTGACTTTGTAAACGGTGAGCGGTAAAGTGTTAAAAACATTTTTCTTTGCAAAGTATCCCACCACAGCTCAGCACCTACTTGCATAGCTGTGTAAATGCAAATTAAGCTCTTTTCTCCACTTCCTTGCATGTTTTGATTATTCTCAAAATGCCAAACAGCGGCAATTTCCATAATTTTCTCTTAGTCAGTCACTCAAGCTTTCATTATCAATGACCTTTCATGGAAGCCAGTTACACAACACTCCTCACACCATCGGCTGTACTTACATCTAACAGCTTTCTGTCCCTGTCTGCAGGTGATGAAGGCAGTAGCAGACCAGTACCGCCTCCCCGCCCCCCACAGCTGCCCCCCCGCCCTCCACTCGCTGATGCTTCAGTGCTGGCAGGCCGAACGGGGGGAGCGGCCGGGCTTCGACTCGCTCCTGTCTTCCTTGGATCGTCTCATCAGGCACCCTGCCTCCCTCAAGGCGGAGCCTACTCGGTGAGCCCGCAGCCTCGGCCAAATGCTGCCGCGGAACACACAGAGGCCAGCAGGTGATGGAAAATCTTCCTCGCTCACAGATTCCCATGCTCTCGTTTCTGACATTTACAGAAGCTGCTCACAGCCACTGCTCAGCCCCACCCCCACAGACTTCTCGTCGGTGGCCACGGTCGGTGACTGGCTGAAGGCGCTGAGGATGGAGAGATATCAGGACGAGTTTGAGCGAGCACACCTGGACACATTAGACAGAGTTAGCACACTCACTATGGAGTGAGTATTGCTGCTATTACTGAAAGTCTAGGGTTAAGTCATTTTTACCCAACAATTCGTATTTCATTTATATTCTTAAAGAAGAGTATTGAGGTGTTAGCCATGTCTCAATGATAAGAATAAGGTCTCCCTCCTATTATTTCTGCTCTGTCCTCATCAGGGATCCAAGCTTATCCTCTGTATTTACATTTCTTTTTATGATTAAGGGGCAATATGATTTAACCTTCTTTTTCCATTTTGTTCCTGCCCTGCCTCCTGTGCCTTTTCTCGCTCATCTTGATTTGTCATTTTTGAGGCATTTCTTGGGCGTCTGAAAGCTCAGCTTGCTGCTCTAACAGCCTCACAAATTCCCCGTTGCCATGGTTTGCCATCACAACAGATGTAAAAAATGACCAGAACGCCTTGCAACAGCACAGCCCTAAGAGAAAACCAAAACATGTTTCAGAAATCTGGATTTACCAAAAGAAAGCCTCACAGAAAATTTCAAGAAGAATTTAAGAATGACACACGACATCCTGAGCTGTTGCAGCACAAGTTCAAACTTCTAAAACAGATTTTGTTCTATTACCTGCCAACAGAATAGAAATAATAATTTGCATTCCGTGATCTGCTAAAAATAAACAAGTTTTTTTTATCTTGACACTGTAAAACCAGTAAAAATTATTTATAATTGTAGCTGCCATGTAATGTCAACCAAGTTAATATTGTTTTGATCTACATAAACCATTTGTGACATGAAGCGCTGTTATGTGAACTCTCCCCCAGAGATGTCCAGGACCTGGGCGTGAACCTGCTGGGACACCAGAGGAAGATTGTCAGCGCAGCCCAGCAGCTCAGGAACCATCTCATGCAGGGACAGGTGGAGGTCTGACATCCACCCGCGGTCCGATCTGTGTGATGGATTTTTAACTATTTTCACACTCCTCTGCTTGTTGCGTCTGGTTTCTGCAACACTTTCATATTCAAGGAGCACATTTTAAGCTGAAACAGAGCTCTAGTCAGCAAACAGTGCCACTCGGTGTGATCCAATAAGAATGACACTACCACCAGAAAGAGAGGAGGAAAAAAAGGCCGCTAGTCACTTACTCGAGACATGTAACAGAAGATGTGCACCATGGGAGCCGCAGTCCAGGTAGAAGTGAGGTTAGAAAACGGCTGCAGAGGAAGATTTCAAAGATTTTGTTATGTTGTTCTTCCCACTATGTTTCACTTTAATGTCATTTGCCTTCCTCTGTCCTCACTGGTCTACAGAGCCATGCGTCAGCCTCTCTTCTCTCTCGCTCTCCCTCCCTGACACTTTTCCGATTTCTCCATCCTCACTGAGTTCAATTAAACTTTAAAAAGAAAATATTGTGCTGAAATGCTCATAGAGATCTTTGCTCACAGAGAATTGCGTGAAGACAATCAAGGCCTTTTTCAATTCTTTTTTACCTTAAAGTTTTATCACGTCTTTACCGTGCAGCCTGTGCTGGTTCAGCTGGGAATGATTTCATCTCAGAAAATCATGTAGTACAATATGTGTAGAGTTCCAATCTAAAATCGCTATAAACCGCTTGTCCAGTGTCAGTAAAGCCACTTTTAGGTTGGACACAGGCCACTGCCATGAAATTGGAAAATTTCAACAAAAAATATGCTGTTACACAAACTAAAAGCCATGTTTTGTCTGTCAGTAAAAGGCATATCGAGGGTCCCATTCGTCCAAATCACTCTCAATGCAGAGCTCCACATTGAATGTGGAGCTTGTACTGTAAAATTTCACTTCAGCTGCAAACACAAACATCCATCTGTGACAGAAACAGAGGCCAAGAGCACCCACCTTTATGTGTACATTTCACACTTCACCTCTTTGTATGATTGCCTGAGTAAAGACACTGAGTCATCGAAGCGCTGTGAATGTGTGAAATGGAAAAGATGGACCAAATCTGATCTGATTTACACGTGAAGGAAGGAGGCGAAATGCTCTGTAAGTATGTGCTCATGTGTTAATAACGTGTGTGCATTGTACATGACGCAGTGTGCGAGTGTGCGTATTTGTGTGTTCGAGACGAGTGTGTCAGGCTACACACATTACTAGCTGTTTACGTGCGTGAGTGTTCACTGCTATTCTGTAATTGTGGAAATTTGTAAAATAAATATGATTTTATTTAACAGGACTCGTGTTCTAACTGCAATCTTAAAAACAGTCTGGAGAGCAGTTTCCAAACAAAATTGGGATCCCTCTAATGTCACCAGATAAAAGTTCAAATAAACTTTGGTTAGGCATTAAAGCAACATACAGTATTTCATTAAAGTGATGACGATGGAACAGAGACATTTTACGTTCTTAATTTCTCTTTGATTCATTTGAGAAAAGTCAAAGTTACCTGTGTGCTGTGTCAGTGCCTTTAGCTGTCACTTTAAAACTTTTCAGAAGTTTATTGCTGGTATTCATTTAAAATTGGATTTGTATTTTCAATATTTCTAACTGTCATCTTCTCAGGTTCTCATTGTGTTTTCATTAGAATTAAAAAAAGCATACCGTGCCATTCTGTTCATTATGGACATTCCACGCTGCCCCCCGACCGTGAAGGAGTACCGTCACCTTCACGGTGATGAAGAGGCTGCACCTTTTGTTCCACAGATCAGCAAGTCTGTGTGCAATCACAGGCTGGGATCTGCTGGGGTCAGCAACAGGTCCAAGAACAGAGACTGCATCCCGCATCGGCCAGAACTGCTGATATCAGCACGGATCAAGACTGATAGCAGGACCACACTTTTAAACCATCATACCAAATAACTTGACCAGTGTCTTCTGATTTTTACAGCACCTCCTGTCGCACATCATCCTCTTAAAAAACTGCTGACACCCCTGAAAATTCTAAATACAGACCTAATTATAACTAGATCTTCTTAAGAACTGAGATTAACTTTTTCGGACATTTCAGCCACGGCGGCCCTTTAGTTGGATCTAGAAACAGAGGCTAGCCTTTGCGGCCGATGTTAAAAGATCTCTTAGATATCTGAGAGGAAAATTTAGATACCTGCATCTAAATCAGATGAAAATGTTTAGAATTTTTTCTGAGATCAGAAACAAAGATACAAGCCTAATTAACATTTACAAGTTCATTCTTAAACACTTTATGAAATATAGAAATGCATGAATATAGAGGAGTCGATGATGATGAATTAGAAATCAAAAGATTTAGTTAGGGATAAAGTTCAGAACTATTTCCAATAAACAACATCAACATAATTTACCACATAACACAAAAGCAGTTGACGGAGCGTTTGTTCCTGTTTTGTTTTTTTTTACCTTAAATGACAGATACGACTTCTGATTCATAATATAGATTTCACCTTACAAACAATGAACCATCAACAATGTTTTAACATATGAGGGGGACTCTTTTCATATATAAAACTTTTATTGAATTGAAAATGTTCAGCTGTCAAAACAAGGAAATATTTTAATATCTAATATTTTAATGTTTTATTTTAATTCAAATACTTTTACAAATGAGATTTTTTCTTTCGTTTATGTAATCAGTTGCATTTTAGAGGAATATCAAATTCTAACCAATCAAATTTGCTGCCTGAGGATGCAACACTGTAGATTTGATCATTTAATCTAAGTAACAATTCAATTTTATCCAATCAAGTGATTAAAGATAGAAAAAAAGATTAGGCGTGTCATCGATGGCAACGGTCCATTTTGCTTTTGGCATGGCCATCAAACGCTGGGTGAGGGCAGAATACATTAGTTTTCTCCGCCTAAATGTACCAGGTTCTTCTGTAATAATTGTTTTCTGTGGCATCCTGACTCAAACTTAACACAGAAGGGGTTACATGTGTCCTGAAACAGTGAGCGCTAAACCCACAAAATTATGTTTTTAAAGTGTTATTGTTTCCTTATGAAGACGTTAACGGCGTGGAAACCATTGGTCTTTATAGCACTGCTTAAAAATGGCACTTCCCGCCTGGTAAACAGCTATTATCTTCACAAAACCATGTGACGGCCACATCTGCAGCCATTACCTGGGCCTCCCTATAGACTCCTCCTAAACCCTGTTTATCCTGCGGCTGACCGCTCACTTAGTCACGATCTATAAATGCTGAAGAAAAACACCTGTACGCTACAGCTGATGTAACCAGAAATTTTGTGTAACTTGGCTGAATCAGCAGTTTGCAGCTGATTTAACGGTGTTGAAATTAAACATAAAGTTCCTTTTCAGTCAGTTGCCAGAATCCTAAAAGCGCTTGAGCACCGCTTAACAAACTATACCATTAGCCTTGTTTTCTGCCCTCTGAGGAAGGTGGCAGGTCTTCATTGGAAATGACGTTGCAGCCCTCTAAATGATCATTATGGTCTTTGTACTGCGGCAATTACCGTATTTGTGATCATTCCTGTTGACACACGAACGGTGCTTAGCATTTTAAATCCCCTTGAATGAAACTAGTTGCAGAGTGTTTTTGTGGACAAACAGCGGCCTGCTGAAAAGTCATACATCATCTTTATATTTCCTCCAGACCATACACCCGGTTTGAAGATAGTTCACAATTTATGGAACTGTAAACACACCAAAAAAAACAAAAAACTGTTATGCCTCAATGTGTAGATTACAAACCTGTGCTCAAGCATTTTCCAAACAGGTTTTCCTTACAGTTCACCCAAAGCAATGACCGCTATGTGTGGACTGCCATGAAGCTGCAGAATTTTCATAGTGGCCATGCAGGTTTTGGTGGTTGTTGGAGGAATGCAGACAGGCCTGGTGATGACAGGGAGATATACTGTGATCAAGGCCTGGACAATTTTGAATACATTCTTTAGGTGACCGTATTGTGCCGATAATTTCAAATCAGCATGATAAAGGAGTTCCTGGTTGATAGTTGGTGAAAGCTTAGGCCCAACTTTCCCTGTGGGATTTCTGACTGGTGGGTGAAAGTCTGCCTGCTCATTACTGCCACACTATCACCGACTTACCTGTAGGCTGTCCACACATCCTCCCTCTCCACCCATTCACTCTCAACCCCGCCGCAGGTCTCCGCCCTCCTGCCGGGGTCATATATAAAGGTGATGCCACAGGGATTTCACTTCTCCTCAGGGACATTTTATAGGTGCTTGATTTGAACTTTTAAAGGGTTATGACTGAGAAGCTGACATAGCTGAAGAGCAGTTCTTCTTTTATCTGAAGGTAAGACAAACTTTCTCATCACTTCTCTTTGTTGTCATTGATGTTTTAGTGTGTTTACTTCTAAAGGTTTGGTCATTTTTAAGGTAAAAAAAATACTTTGTTTTTGTTCCCTGGTTTGGATCCCACCATTTCCGTGTTATCTGATTATTTTACCTTTTTGCTTCGTCTTTTAGAATAAATCTTATCAGCCATCCGGTGTAAATGTCTCCGTCTCTGGCCCGATCTGCTCCAAGCGAGCTCAACCACTGGTGGACCCAGCTGAGGTTTCGCCTGCAAAATAAAAAAGGATGGAACGAAATGTTGGATGAGACATTTCTGATCTACACAAAAAAGTATGGAGTGTTTAAACAGAGGCTTGGACTTTACTTTTCCTCGTTTACGAGGAACCCCAATGTATATATTTACATTACATTAGTCTTTGTCCTTCTGTCCTGCAGCATAAACGATATTCCTCTCTTCTATGCGGCTAAAACCAACAGCGTTGGTTGCATCAAGAAACTGCTGAGCTGCGCGTCCACCAACATCTTTGAGAGAGGTATTGCTTGACTTTGGATTGGAGGCTTCTTGTGTTTGTCCGGACACGGCTGTAATCGTTGTGGTTCTAATCCTCTGGCCTAGGAGCCCTGGGAGAGACGGCTCTCCATGTTGCTGTGATGAATGACAACCTAGATGCTGCTGTGGCTCTGATGGACGGAGCTCCCGAACTCATCAACGAGCCAATGACCTCTGAACTTTTCCAAGGTACACATGCATGAAGATACTCAAACCCACAAACAATGTACATGCAAAGACAAATGTGCTGATCGTACTGTTAGTGTAGATGGTTGAGGTCGTCTCGTGTTAAGTCCATAGATACCTAGGAGAAGGGAGACTAATCACTTGTGTGACTGCCAGACTAAATCTAATATAACAGAAGAGTTTTAAATTTATCAGGATTTTTACTGCAGGGAGAAAAACTACAAGTGTGATATGATATAAAAAAATAGCACAAAATCCTTTACAAAAAGCGGCTTCTGTTGGCTTAAATTAATACCATCAATCAATACTAAGACAAAATGTCCAAAAGTGAGCTCTTCACCGCCCCCTGCTCTCTTACAAGAGAGCTGTAAACAACGAAACCTGGTGCAGACTTCCAGGGTGGGTTCCAACTCAGCATGATAACAAGACTATTGATATGCAGATAGATGGTGAGATTCTCTTTAGCTCCAAGCTCTACTTTCACCAAAGGTAAAACTGTGGAAATCAAATGCAGACTCACAGCCGTTCACAGAGTCACATCTTCTCTGCCAGTTAGCTCATAACTTCTCTATTTAGTTTTCTCCATTTTGTGAATCATAAAATTTCCATAACCTACCAAACTGCCTCTTACATAAGACATTTTAAGACAGCATTTCCCTTTTTTGTGTATTCCATCAGCTTCACCGACTGACACCTTTACTTCAGTGTGTTTGAGAATTCCAATTTCTGTAAAAGATGCAGGGCAAAAATGAAAACCCAGTCCTTCGCGGGGTGGTGGGAATGGGGATCTCTGGGACTGTGCCATGTCTGCTCAAATTGTGCTCAATCATCATTCAGACGGCAAATCCAAATGTCAGGCCAAATCTGACATGGTGTCCTGACTACAAAACTGCTAACTCACAGCAGACCAGTGCACTGAGTCTTTCTCTGCCTCAGGTGTTACTCCTCTCCACATTGCCGTGGTGAATCAGAACATCAATCTGGTTTATCATCTGATTAGTCGTGGTGGTGATGCCGCTACACCTCGAGTCACTGGTCTGTATTTCAGGAAGAGGATCGGAGGACTTCTGTACTGTGGTGAGTCAGCCTGACCTTACAGCTGATTGTAAGCAATAGTCTGATTTCAACAGAAAGTCGCCTCCAATGGCGTGTTTTTAAAAAAAAAAAGGTCAGATCAGATGTGTTATTGATCAACAGGTGAGCATATCCTGGCTTTTGCTGCGTGTGCGGGAAATGAGGACATCATCAACATGGTGATCGACGCGGGGGCCAGTACCAGGGTCCAGGATTATCGAGGTGTGAATAACTGACTCTGAGAGGACATTGTTGTTTCATATGATAACACAAAGTGGGCAGGACAGAGTGATAGGTATGTTTTATTTGGGGTTGTAGCTGAGGTGTAATATCCACTGGAAGAATTCCTGCCCTTAATCTTTTCGACTTTGCAAAAAAAAATCATGAATTTATAGTTTAAGATGTTTAATTAGTTCATTTTTAAGATCTTTCTCATTCACTTCTTTAAAACTACATATAAAACTACTAAGAATCAGAATTTCAGCTGTGGAGCACATCTGTTTCTGGGTGAAACAGCTGTGAGATGAAAGACATTAACACACTAAGCACTACTCGTACACATCCGAAAAGAGGAAAGAACAAGGACGATTTACAACATTTACAAGAAGATTTTCATTTTCTAAATTGTTTTCGTTGTGCTGTTGTCTCCTCTGTGGTCTCATTGCACTGTTGATTTTGTCGCTGTGTTTGGCAGATTTGGCCACCGTAGGAGACCAATAAATCGGTGGTTAATCCACTCATGAATCTCTGTGCATCTGTCAGTGAATGTGCTTGATTTTTTCCTATTGTGGCCCCTGTCTCTTGTCTGCACACATTCCAGGCAACACACTGCTTCATGTTTTGGTTCTGCAGCCCAACAAGACAATTGCGTGCCAAGCCATTGACCTGATTATGGCACGGGATGCGGAGCTTGACCAGTCAGTTCCACTCGACATGGTGCCCAACTGCAGAGGCCTCACACCTTTTAAACTGGCTGCCAAGGAGGGAAACATCGTGGTGGGTGTGAAGCATAAGATGTGCCCCATGGTGGAAATGAAAGGTGGAGGAGATTATTTCAATAATCCTATCCTCCGTGCTGTGATTCCCTCTGTCTCACTCAGGCATTTCAGCACCTGGTTAATAAAAGGCGAGTCGTCCAGTGGAGCCTGGGCCCTCTGAGCTCTCACCTGTACGACCTGACCGAGATCGACTCCTGGGCCGACAACATGTCTGTGCTGGAGCTCATCGTGGGCAGCCCTCGGAGAGAGGTGAGAGAAAACAGAACTTGTGATAGAAATCAAGGAAATCACACCCCATTTGAACTGAGATCCTAATGTCCATCGGAAAATGAGATCAATCCTTGATATTCCAGGCCAGAGGAATTCTGGAGGTGACTCCTGTGAGGCAGCTGGTCAGTTTGAAGTGGAACCTGTACGGGAAACATTACTTCAGGTAGAGATGTCTCCCGGCGTCTGAGGTCAGATGTTTACTCTATCCTCTACTAGTGTCCCCTGTGTTGACGCTGTGTTTTTCTCTCTCTGCTCCGTCAGGCTCCTGCTGTTGCTGTATCTGCTGTACATTGGGACCTTCACACTTTGCTGTGCGTTTCGCCCTCTAAAGGACGCTCCAGAGAACTACACCATGTCAGACACAGACAAAACCATCAGGGTCCAGAAAGCCCTCAATGTGAGTCCCTCATTGCACAGGGAACCAAAAAGAATGTGGATAATGATCATCAGATCGCTTTCACAGAATGAATAGCTTCATTTTTCATTGTTATTCTCACCCATCTATGAATGTGACACTTGTAAAGGAATATTCTAGGAGTGTGCAAGTCAAAGTAAAAGAAGGACTTCCTTCTTAAACAAGAAGCTTTTCCCCCATACCAAAACTATGAAAAAAGAAAGTTTTTAGTGCAGAGTTTGGCTTTGAGTTCTTTTGATGAAGAATAAATCTTCTCTTTACTTGAAATATGAGATTATGCTGCAGCTTCTTAGTCTATGTTATGTCTATGATTCTCCATTCAGCCTCCGTATCGATTGTACAACCAAACAGTACATTTTCAATCTACTCTAGCCTCATCTTTTCTTGCAAAAAAAAGCAATGTCTAAATCAAATAAAAAAAGACATCTAGACAGTTCTGGCCTTCTGGATCTTTTTTATACTCATTTATCTGATATTATAAACAGAAAGTTTGTCCTAGCTGCATTTCCCTCTACTAAAACATGGAACTTTAGTCTTTGAATGTTAGTTCTGACTTCATTTCCATTTTGCCTGACTCAGGAGAGTTATGTGATGCACAGCGACAACCTGAGACTGGCCGGGGAGGTCATCAGTGTTCTGGGAGCTTTTGTCATCCTGGTCCTGGAGGTCAGTCCACATCCCACACTATGTATTCCTAATTTTAGCCCATCAAATGCATTGCAAAGGAGAAATCATCCTGCACCTCCTTCCAAAACAGATCCCTGACATACTGCGAGTCGGAGCGAGGCGGTACTTTGGCCAGACAGCATTGGGAGGTCCCTTCCATGTCATCCTGTAAGTACAAACGTCGCTGAGCTGAATGCTGATGGCGATGCGCTGGTCCTTTCTTCCCTATAACTGCTGCTGTGTCTCGTTCTGACCAGCATCAGCTACGCCTCCCTGGTGGTGCTGCTGTGCGTGTTCAGGGCCTGCGAGGTGCAGGGGGAGGCCGAGGTGATGGCAGTGTGCTTGGTCCTCGGCTGGTGCAACGTCATGTTCTTCGCCCGCGGCTTTGAGATGCTCGGCCCGTACGTCATCATGATCCAGAAGGTGAAAGAAAGAGCTCCAGCAGGCCGCGGGGGGGGGGGGGGGGGGGGGGGGCTGGCGCGGCGGTTTGTTTCACCCCTCACACCTGCGGCCGCGTGTCTTTGTAGTTGTTGTTTTAGGGTTTCTGTGGTCGCCTGTTTGTGTTTTCAGTCTGAACATCTTTGTGTCTCATTTCCTCCTAGATTATATTTGGAGACCTGACAAAGTTTATGTGGCTGAGTTTTATTGTTCTCATTGGTTTCTCCACCTGTGAGTATATTCTTGGTCATATGAAAAAAAAAACGTGTCACTTCCATAAAGTGGAAATAAGGCATTTAAATAACATAATATAGAATATACTGCTCCTTTTAGTTGGATGACTATTTTTGTTTGATTCTCCTCTCAGCCCTGTGGATGGTGTACATGACCCAGGACCCGGAGTCCCTCCCTGCATATCGCTCCTTCCCGGTCACCCTCTTCTCCCAGTTTGAGCTCAGCGTGGGGCTGATCGACCTGCCCGTGGAGCACACCATCTACACGCCCCCCATCGTCCACGTGCTGCACGTCACCTTCTCCGTGGTCTCCTACATCCTGCTGCTCAACCTGCTGATTGCCATGATGAGCGACACACACTGGAGGGTGGCCCAGGAGAGAGATGAGCTTTGGAGGACTCAGGTGACACATACCCGGAGTGTTATAAAACGTGTGCAGGATGCCGGTGCTGGCGTGAATTGAGCCCCGCTTACAGCTTTGATTTCGCCATGCAGGTGGTGGCCACGACTCTGATGCTGGAGAGGAGGCTGCCCCGCTGTCTGTGGCCTCGGCTGGGAGTCTGTGGGCTCAGCTATGGCCTGAAGGAGCGCTGGTATCTCAGGTGAGAGAACGTTTCTGTACCAGAGGCAGGAACGGAGGTTTAGAGGAGAACTGAGGCTGCAAAGAAACACCTGACATGGCAGAAATTTACACTTGGGATCATGTCAGAGTATCATTTGAACTAACGTGGGCTTTGGTTCGTACATTTGTTTGCAGGGTTGAGGACAGAAATGACCCCATGATGCAAAAGATGCGACGTTACGTTAAAGTGTTCTCCAAGGAGGACGAAAAGGAAGGACTGGAGAAGTCAGACACAATGAAGGAAGACACAGTGCTCAGGCGAGAAACCAGAGGAGGCAAAAAGAGGAGGGCCCTGGCCGGTTGGGAGGTGATCCGTCACAGCGCTTTGGGTTTGGAGATGGAGCAGGAGGAGCCAGAGGAGGACCAGGACATCAGATACGTTTAGAATGCAGCCACCTGATCAAGAAGTTCATTTTTAAAACCTTCAGAGCATATGAAGTCAATGTAAGAAGTTGATGCTTTTTGATTAACTGGGGCTTCATCTTTCTCAGTTTCTCTAATATAGGCAACGGTGCAATTATTCCTGCAGTATTATGCTATGGAAAAGAGTGTGTTATTTTTATAGCAATATAAAAAAATATGTAGCAGTCATAGATGTTCAGTGACAATAAAAATAAATATTCAACTCGTCATGTCGCATTGACACTTTTATATGGGAAAACAAACCCTTATTTCTCAGCTAGTGGGAAATATAATGAAACAGTATAAAAGACTGGTACACCTTGATAAGCGCTTATGAACACAACAGTAAAATATCAGAGTACAAACATCGAACTTCATTGCAGTAAGAAAATATTAAATCTGAAAATCAAAATGAGTGGTTACTTATATCCTAAATACACAGCATTTATCTAAAAAGCTTGATTATGTGTCCTGGCTGCTGTACTACTGATTGGAGTGTGATGTGGAAACTGAAATGCTTTGACAAGTTATTGAGGAGTTCATTCTTGTGGGACATCAGAGCTGAAGCTGGCAGACGAAGTAGGTGGCAGCTTGACAGGCGGCTGTTCGCCAGTTCTCCCCAGGTGGTTGGTCAGTGTCGAGGTAGGCACAGTCGGACCTCGGGTGTTCTAACCAGTAACTGCAAACATGAGGAGATAGTCAAAGGATGTTTTTAATCACATTCAATAAACAATGGAGTTGTTTTGTTTGTTTGTTTGTTTGTTTGTTTGTTTGTTTGTTTGTTTGTTTAGGTGAGGAGCAAAATGCAGTCATAACAACAAGCTTTATTTCAAACTGCTCATCAAACATTTGCTAATGTTTCTAGAATCCTCAAGTGTGTGTTACATGGCTTTTTCAAATAAACGAGAATGAAGAAAATATAAAATGGCAACATCTGAACATTATTGTACAGTTATCATAAATAGGTTATTAGGTTCTCATAACACAAAACAAACAAAAAGTTAATGAGAATAAGAATGACAAAAATAGATGAAGAAAACCAAGAACTAAAATATGCTGAATATATACTCACTGAGAAGCATTAACGATTTATAAAATGTGCTGACATCAGTCATTTCTTCAGGTGGTGATATAATTACATAATACTGATGTTTTTTAATCTTTCAAATTTGTGTTCATAAGAGGAGCATGATAAAAACATATGTGTACAGAGAGTAAATTTATAACTTCTATGAATCAGCGGTTGTCATGAACTACCTGTCCTGCAGCGCGTTGTTGTTGACCCAGGTCCACGCAGCACCTGTGTGTCTCAGCCCGATCCAGTATTTCATGTTGCCTTTCCTCGTCAGAAAATTCTAGAAATGAAAACCCCATTCGTGGTTACACAGACTAACCGAAGATTGTAGCCTTTCAAAAGACCGGGGCACTGTGACAACAGACAGCGGGTGAGAGCCACCTGAATGTTCTGGTTGCTGATGACAGCCAAAGATCCACCACTGGAGGAGCAGTTCTGCTGACTCTCAGTCCAAGTCAGCCGGAAGGTGGAGAGGAAATAGCAAGATCGCCCGTAAGTGAGCCATCCTTTGGCACACTGTTGGCAGCCGGGACCTGGATCCAGACAAAAATAAAGTAGAGTCAGCGTTATCAAAGGAGATAATAAAACAGCCCACAAATTAAGCACAATTACACGTAACAAACAAAAAACTAAAAATAGATGAACTTTTTAAAATGCTTCTCACATATCCTCCCATAAATGGACGTTTTGTCATGTGCATTTATCAGTTCATAACCTTGTAGAAAAATAATCTTTGAGGATTTATTTTTGGGTCAGGTAAATTCCCCCAAGACGTAAGCAAGAAGTAACTCCCTCAGCTGCCTGATTAAAAAATACTCCTGGTCATTGTGAAAGCAGAACTATCACTAAAAATATTGTGATTTTCAAAGTTTCAGATGTCTTCTTGGTTTTGACGCCGCATTTCTGCATGTGAGTGCTCACGTTTGGAGTGGATGTCTGGGAAGAGGTCCTGGCACTGTTCAGGGCTGCATGTCGGGGGGGGAATCAGTCTGCCAGTCGTTTTAGTTTCCTCGTCCTTAGAGCAGACTGCGGATCCAGTTTGGACTAGAAATCAGAGTGGGCGGAGAGATGAGGAAAAGAAGAAATGCCCAAAGACTCTGCAGCTCTGCAGCTGGGCACAGCTTTCATGTCTGATCTGTTGTTCTCAGGAGGAAAAGCATCGAAGCATTGCAACTGAATAAAACTGCATCCCCCAGTCTTTTGATCCAGTACCTCTGCAAAAGCTTTTTAGGATCAGCTTTAGTGTTACAAAGAGAATCAAAGGAGGAGTGGTTTGTTGTTGCAAAGGAATCATGGCTGCAGACACTCACGTTTCACACTGAGGGCGATGATGATGAGCAGCAGGACCACGCAGATCACTGTGAGGAGCAAACAGGCGGCTCGGTACAGGCGCGCTTTTCCCTCACTCTGATTTCCTGAGAAGGAAGACATAAAAATAGAAGGCAGTGAGCACAACACAGACCACCGTGAGGGCTGAGTCAAACCGCCTCTTCCTACCTTTCTCTCCTTCCAGTTCAACAGACAACTTGGACGCCAAGTTTTCACCGCCTTCGTCTCGTTTATCCTCAACATAGCTGCGACAGAATTTGATGTACATTGAGAAAAATGTCCCGGTGTTTGTGGGGCGGCTTGTTTACTGTCCTGCTCCCGTTCTGCTGAATCACTACTGCCTGCAGCGGTGCTCTTTTAACACCCCGCTTTGTCTCATCACCATAGCAACAGCTCGGCCTTCAGTGATTCCTAAATTATTCAAGGAGCACAGTGGACGGTTTGTCTTTGAATGCCAAAAAAGTTTCATATCTCCCTGTGTCTCGCTCTTAAAGGATGAATTGTCTTCATCTCTTTTGGAAGAATGTGTGTGTGAGCGTGTAAGAGTGAGAACTTATCGCGGATCGAGACGTAACAACAGATAGGATTTAATCTGAGGTCACAGTGAGGTTTGGGTCACAGTGTAAGATACCAACGCCACTGGTACAGAATTATACAGAACGATTTTTTTAATGTAGTGCAGAAAACCGGTTCATACCAAGAGTTTGCTCAAATGGCTTTTAAAAAGAGGAACATTTTTTTCCTTTAGTTTGAATTTGCCAAGTAGGATAGCACATATTGGTGTATGTTGGAAAATGAAAGTAATCCTTGGGCTATGATATTCTTTCAACTTTTAGCTTCCTTTTTCACTTATGAACTGTTACAACAACAAACAAAAAAACACACCTAAAGTCATAACTTATAAGAAGGCAAAGGTATGAAGACAAAACCACAAACCAAACCATGACATTGTGTGGCACAGTCGCAGAAAAATCAAGTTCATTTTGTTGTGCGCTTTGAGAAAAAAAAAAAGGCGCTTATGCAATCCAGCCAGCCACGGTGAGTTCACTAAGGGGGGCTGTGTTGATGAGTATGACAAAAAATATTTGTGTTATGCTGACTATGCATTATATCCCATTTAAAACAGGATATTCTAATAATATTGGGTTTGCTCACAAATCTTGTTTTAAGGTTGACTCTCCAAACTTCCCTCTGGTCAAGTGAGACCTATTACTTTCTTAAAAGTGTTACTTATCAAATAGAACTGAAGGTCCTTTCCTTGGACCTCCCAGTTTCATAGCTGCTGTCGATTAAATTTACTGGTGTTACTTCAGGCAGAAATTTAAAGTCATAGTTTGTGGTTAGTGGTTAAGTGTAAGGCAGCAGCTGCATAGTTGTACAACTTTTCAATACATTTCTGGCAGTACTATGAGTTAAGCAAGTCACAAAAATGCTCAATGATTTGTAACACATTATTTTCCAGCATTAATATTTCAAATACAGTCAGCATTTCCTATGAAGTCGAAAACTGTTAAAACTGCAAGGATAAAGAAAGAATGAAATGTGACATGTAAAAGCATTAGGGTTTTTCTCATGTTAGATCTGTTTTTCTGTTTTGTTTGATAATATGATTTATGTGTTTATATGTGTTGGGCTGATGGTAACAGAGTGAAATGCTTTACATAAACAGAGGTGAGAAGTAAAAACTGCTTAGCCTATTCCGGCAAATTTTTCAACCAAAACCATACAACCGGTTCAAACCTTCTACAGTTCAGCCTCTGCGAACATGGAAAAAACAAACTCTTTGGGCGTTGAGTTTTCACCATACTGCTCAGCAACTTCACTTTTTCAAAAAAAATGCTTCCTTTTCTGTTATTAAAAAACACCCATTTGATCAATCTTTCTTATTACAAATAAATATCATAAAGTTGTCATGCAGAAGTTTTTCATCAGAGAAATTAAAGGACCTTGTTTATAAAACCTTAAAGTTTATGATCATTTCATTAGAAACCCTCTTGCCATTTTTAAAAAGTCACACAAAATTAGTCCAACTTTTCCCATGGAACCTAAACTTCTAAGTTGCAGTATTTTAGTCCACAGGGGTGGAGACCAAAAGCTGATGAAGATCTCCGTTATGAGTAACCAGCAGTGTAAGCCATTAATTGCCGATCATGATCTTTTAGACTGAAAAAAGGACTTAAAGCCTTAAGACTTTAAGAAACATAATGAGTTGCTTGAACAACTTCATACACAGAAGACATAGCTGGAGGTTTTTACAGACAGACACACAGACTCAGACGCTGTTGGCACATGCAGCGTCTGGGAACTCCAGCTGTTCGTCCTACAGGACATACAATGCACTTTATGGAAACGTTTACCTGATTTTGCTCTAACATGAGCTGCAGCATAAAACGATTCTGTGTAGACATCTTCAGTTGGGCCCCGAAGTTGATCGTAATGGTCTGGTTCTGCTTCCTCTAAAGACGAAAATACAGACAGAAAGGTTTTGATCTGAGAAGCCGGAGTTCACCTACAAATATTGAATTTGGAGGTAAATTTGAATGTTGCATTTTTGTGCATATTTACATTAAAAATGTAATCTAAAGGTAAAAATGTGCTCTTGCTCAGAGCACGTTCTTTTTTGTTATACTGTTTGGGATTAATTATGTAAGTAATAATTCAGATTCCCAGTCACATCAGTCAGATTACATTCAATTTCTGGCTCACCTTCAGTTTTGACCTCCTGCACCGGTTCACTTGCTCCCTCTTCTGCTTTGTTTCCCTCACTCTGCTCCGAGATCTCCTGCATCTCCATGGCTCCTCTCTTCTGATTCTCTAACTTTCGATTCACCCGATGTATCTTTTGTCAATTGACAAAGAGGTTATGTAACCTCCTCTGAATGCAGACCGAAACCCAGATCACACCCAGTTGCAGAGATAATGTGCAAATCTTTTTTCTAAAAAAAAATTAACTAATTTTCCCACATCGAAGTGTCCCGTGAAAACTGTGACTCATCTAATCAGTAAAGACAGAACACTTCCCCATTAACATTTGACTTGTTTCCGCTCTTACCATAAACCACATATAAATGTAGTAAAAATAGCTTGGGTTGGTCCTTTGTCTGCCTACTGCCTGGCAAACAAGCACTAATGAATGCTCTACGATGTCTAATAACTGAAGTTTCATTGACCCAATGCCTCTGAATTGTTGTCAATGTAGTATAATGTGAACATTTAAATCATAGGTGAAAATGTTTAGAATTACAAATCAATACTTCGTCATTCCCGTTTTTATGAGGGCAGACACATGAAAAGAAGACTGAATTGTTGCATTTTTCTTTATTTTTCCACAAAATGTTATGATAATTTACAAAACAACAAAAAATACTATTTGCATTAAATACAGATGACTGAGAAAGATAATGAGAGTTTCCGACCTATTTTCAATCGCTTCCTTTAAAAATGCATTCACTTTAGGGTTGCTTTATCACCAGGTATAAACAAAACTTGATGTCCTAAAACGCATCATGCTCATCTTGAAATACTGTCAAAGGTATAAACTGTCAAAGGTCTGGGTGTATAAAGGTTTACCCCCACCATCTGCTGTAGCCATATATCAAAACTAAAACAGAGAATTAAAGTGGCGCCAAGCATTACAAACCAAATCTTTATTTCAGATTGAATGTTCTCCTCTCATTCTCTCTCTCTGAGTCTTTTGCACTCCTTCAGGCCCCATACACGCTCTCGTTGCTATAGGTCATGTAGAGAAACAGGTCCTCTTCATGGTGCTCCTTCAACAAAAAATGAACAAAAACATAATATTAGCAAAGAAAAAGTCATTAGTGGAAACTAGTGTCTTACTGGAAGTAGAATTGAGAGAATAGGTTCTTCAAAAGGAAGTGGAAAGTGAAGCAACAATGCTGTCTAAGCAGATCTTTGCAAGAAAGTCCGGTTCTTTATTAAACCACCTTACATGGGAAGTGTTTCTATGTAAGCATACGTGACTGTAAAAGAAGATACAGTAAGAAATAACATCATGTTTGCACCGCAGCTGGTCGTGTGTGTGTGAGCATACAGAAGCAGGACAGAAGCAGTTACCTCATAGACTGCAGACAGAGGGAAGCTGGATGGAGGAAGAGAGTTGTTGACAAAGAAGAACAGTGCCTCCTCTGGTCTCAAAGACACACGCTGGCGGATCAGGAAACACAACTGGCCCACTTTTTTTTTTAAAAGGGAAGGATAAAGAGAAACAAAAATAACAAGACAGTCAGTAAAAGGTCAAACCCAGAAGTTTTGTTTCATGTGAAAACATAAAGAAAGTAATATCTGCAAGAAATGAGCAAGTAAGAAAAATGATTCAGCGTACATCTGATCATTTCTTATGTTTTTGTGTGTCAAAAGGTTTTTAAAGACTCCCTCCCTGATGATGGTCGTTTCCCCTACAGTTCCAAATTATGCATTAGTGAATCTCACCTGTTAAATCTGAGGGCACTAAGTATTTCTTCTTGTCCAGTTCAGGAGCTCGTGATCTCGGGGCTCTCTCCACAATGATCTAGAACGCATCAAAAACACCCAGAAACAGAAGCAACAATCAGCAAAGACACGGGCTGTGTATACAATCAAAGCTGCACTTTGCAAAATATTTTACAGAACTCTACAAAATACTGTTTAGTAAATGAAAAATAGAGATCTGATAATACAGAAAAGAAACTAAAATGCCCTCTTAGTCTAATTCATTACTAAGCCATGGTTTTATTTTTATTTTCCTGTTTAATGCAATGACGTCTCTTAGTGTAAATAAGATGTTGCCAACAACAATGAACTTGTTTTCATACTGACCGGTATCTTGTCAGGATGCTTGGCCCGGACTCGCTCTCCTTCCGCTCTCCTCACCTCAAGTGGCACTGTGCGCTGATACTGACTGCTCATCTGAAAACAACAAGAACAGACATGAAGTCTCTCACAATGGCAACATTTACTTCACAGACAAAGGAGAATGAGCACTGTCTGACTTCACCAACCAGTGCATGTAAACAAGTGGTTCCGACGCTGCAGTCTTTTAATCAAATGTCCTGTTTATACCATAATAGGTGCTTAAACTGGGACACAATGGAATCAATTGCATCATAACGTGGATATTGATCAGAATAATAATTTCAAATTGTCGAGCTATAATGCTTTTTTGGATATTTTGATTAAATCAATATACATGACTGGCTTTGGACTGCATGAATATGTTTTAAATATTTAAGCCAATTTTCATATTTCTGTACAATGTTGTGGCTATAACACCTCTAAGGCAAACAGACAGATTTGTACTATTTTGCCTCTATATCAAATACAGGACTCTTTTCATCGAACAGTTAATATATTGGTAACAGTCACTTGGGGGCTACATTTTTGTTGGGTTTCAGGTCCAGCAAAACCATTAAATTAGAGCAAAGAGTCCATCATTCAGCAGGAAAGAGGGGTTTTGTGAACTTATCACATGACCCAGCACAATCTTTTTTTTCTCCCAATCAGTCAAGCACATTCTGTCCTGCTAATGTAGAACATAGAAACTCCATCTTTTGAATCCAGAGGATGAGTTGTTTTTGCTGTAAACTGTCAACGTAGATTTAATTTTGTTTTGGTTCGTTGGTGTGCATATTAGCACTGATTAGACAACGTTTTGATAGTCGTTTTCAATTACTAAAACTCATGTTGAATGCCATGACGAGCAGCTGCATATGTAAATGTTTAAGGACAGGAAACATTTTTAAAGATGAGTGGAAGTAAATATTGACCTCGTCAATATTTCTCGGTCGACCGCAAATAACGACCGTATTTTTTGCAAACTGTGCACGTCCGTGAGGTCAGGATGACACTATTCCAGGTTCACGGATTGGCCACGTCACTGTTCAAAACAACGCTCCTATCGGGTAACTTACTGCCATCCATGAACTAGGACTTCAACCAAAGACAAAAACCACTGATAAGAACCTTCGGACAAATAACCTACAAAACACGAAAAACCCCAAACACAACATTTTACCTTAGCATTTGATTTGAACTAAGTACAATCAGATGTTTTCAGGCGTAGTGCGAAAGGTAATGCTAGCAACGGTAGCTAACAAAGCTGCTGTTTACATACCTTTAAAACACAAAACCGAATTTCACTTAAAAAAGACGAATCCAAATGCGCTCCAATGGAACCAGTTGGACAGATTTTTTTCTAAACAATGCCTGTAAAGACCTGTTTGAGGGTAAACCCCACTACAAACGTAAACGTCTGTGCTGGCTTTCAAAGATGTCGACTGCTCTACTTATTCTGCTGAACGAAAACAACAACAAATACGAAAACGCCCATCGGCCTGAAATATAGCCAATCAGGGACCGGTAAATAAATTGACAGTTATTTTTGTCCAATAGAAAAAGACGTAGGGTAGAGAGCCTTTCACTTATTGGGTAAGGCTGACTGTCAACCTGTAGATATTGCAGCTCTATTTTTTTAACAGTGCGATACAAAAAACCAATAGCAACGCTTGAAAACTGGACTCTTTTCCCGGCGACGCCTTAACTAAGCTACGTGCGCAGCGTGCACGGTATTCTTTTTTCTTCATCTGAACAGTTCATTTTGTTCTGTAAACATCTCCTTCAGGCGCATGCCAGAACTGTCAAGCAACTTTTAACAAATCCTTACTGTAAACGGGTACATCCTGACGTGTGATATATAGAAGAAAAAAATGCTATTTTACAAAAAAAAAAATAGAAATGCCAGCAAAGATGAAAACCCAGTGATGGTCAGATGCGTTTTTTTTCACATCCAAATTTATTGAAATGTCTTCTGTATGTCCTTTGAAGCTCTGTTGAACTTTCTTGAACATTAAATGTGTGTTGCTTCATACGTGCACAAACACACATTTTAGAAACACGCTTAGATCATACAAATTCTGGGCTTTACACAAAATATATCATTTCCCAAAAATAATATTTCTTGGAAAAAGGCAAGTTTCCTTAAAGAATTTTGTTCTTAAAACTCAAATCAGCTCATGTACCATTATAAAATATTGCTTCTAACACTTTACATTGCAATCAATAGTCACACAAAGCCCTTGTTGGCTCTCTAGATGGTTTCAGCAGTCCATGCATTGCTCTATATGCAATACACAGAGTGAATCTAGCAAGATCCAGTGAAACACGAATGTGCATTCTTGCGCTTTTTTAAAGCTCCTGTAAGCAGTGTTTAAACAGTCTCTGAATATCCATCATCAGATTTCCAACAGGTATGAGCCCTCAGCTGGGCGACATTCAAGACATCCCGCTGTTTGTCAGGTCGGCAGCCGTTGCTGTTGTCAGTTTAAGGGCATCTGAAAGGTTGCGTTTTCTGATTCTGGAACTACTAATGGTTTCCAAATGGGACTTGGGTAGCCATCCACGATGTCGGTCAGAAAGTCTCGTCCCTTCAACCCAATCTGTGAACATAAGAGAATCCAACAAGGACAAGCTGAATGCACACATTTATGTATATTGTACATTCAAAGACTGCATAATAAATCATTTTCTGCATTGCATTTAAAAAGTGTAATTGTCTTACTGTCACTGCTTTCCTGATGGACTAGAATAACATCAGCTTTTTCCAAAGACAGCTCATCTGGCTGCTGGGCAACAAAAGCTCGAATACACTGCATCTGTACAAAGTCTAGATGAGAAAAGGGAGTAAGGAAGTAAAGCTTTAAAGGTCAAGCAGATACAGAGCCACCAAAAAATCCAAAAGAAAGGCAGTATCACCGATAGTCCACCCAGGCCTATCTCTGCTAATGCTGCCTACTTCAATCTCTTATCAGCATAATTATAACATTTAATTGATCAGCATTTTCTATTCCTATACAACATTTTCACCTGATGTGTAATTTTTATCAGTTTTTATTGACAAAACCTTCCAAATGTTCAAACTCTGATATTCCTTTTCTTATGACTAATAATAAAGACCATCTCACAACCCCTTAACCAACTACATGCCAAGTTACACTTTGGAGGGAGCAAACTGGGGACTACTTGTTTACCTTGTGCAGCAGAAAAATCAATTTCAGTATGAGGCCTGGACAGGGCTGAAATCCAACGTAGCTTATCACTCCTGTTGGAAAAAGATGAAAGAACAATGTGCCTTGTGCAATTTTTTACCATGTGGCAACAAATGCAGGGGTCCTTTCAGGTCTCTGTCTTACTGTGAGTCAGTCCGTAGCAGCAGAGACTTTTGTGACATGTAAAGGCGAAACAGGTTCTTCTGTAGCGAGTGAAGTTTGACACGACAATTCTCTACGCGAAGTTCTGACACAGGCGAGTGGTCGATTACAGTGAATCTTCCCCCTCTGGAGATAACAGACAGCAAAATCAGAAGTGATAAGCAAGGCAGCTGGAAGAAAACAGGATGCAGCAACCGGGGTCCATAGTGATGCCGATTGGCCGGTGATGGTTATCTCGGCATTATAAAGGAACGTGTTCGCTGACTCACTCTTTTTGTAGTGAGAGTAGCAGGTAGTCGTTGAAGAGATGCAAGTATGCGCTCCTCTCTGTGTCCTTCAGAGAGAAATCCATCAGTTCAGTCACTGGACCTTCTCGCACTAATCTCCGAGACTGACTGACCAGAGGAAGAGTCTAGAAAAGAAAGCAGAAGCTTAATCAGTTGAAACATTATCAACCACACCTCCATGAGTTCAAACAGTTTTCTACCTTTAGCTTGGTTAAGGCCATGGATTGTTATGTGATTGCCAGAATTTTACACATAGGCCACATGACACCATCTGAGCCATCTCATCAATGACTGAACAGACATCTGTTAAAGAACATTCTTGTGCTTTGTATTATCTCAAAATTGTTATTGAAATCAAATCCTTGATCCAAAAGTGTATTATTATTCCATGATGAAGCTGAAAGATGCTAAATGAATAAATCCCACATTCAAAAGCAATACTTATGTCTGTGATAGTATTCAATAAAACTACTAACTAATAATTTTAATAGAAGAGATGATCATTTGGTTAACCCTGTTCCGTGTGACTTACCCTGCACTCAAAGTCAACTTTAGCACTGAGAGAAACCAGAGACTCGATGCTTTTCATCTGGGAGATGCTGTCATTACTCTCTTGAATCAGCTTGAGAGGAGACAAATGAAGAGGTTTCTTTGCATCAACTATTGTCCATACATTTCAATTTTAGTTTATGTAGAGTGGAAAAGAAGAAGATCCTGTACCGTCTCTAGGCGTTTTAAGGCTTTGATTGCATCTTTCGCCTCTGGGGTGCCAGGGGCCGTTCTTTTCACGATATTCTGTACAAAAAAAAAGGTTTGTCACAGTTGAATGGGTAAAAAGATATAATATGTTATATAAATTCCTAACAATTGATGTGATCGTGTATGTCTTCATACATACTTGGACCAGTAGTTTAATTCTTGTGATCCTTTGGAAGGGAAGCACCAGGAAAGAACGGAGAGGAAGTCTCTGACAAACTGGACTTCTCTCCAACTTCTCCACAATCCTCTTGAATTCTTGATTCTCATTCCTGATTTGAAAAAAAAGAAAACAAACAAATAAAGAAAGGGAATCTAACAATAGATCACGTGTTTATGAAATCAATGTTTTTCTTATGCAAGAAAACGCTAGAAATCCAAGAGAATAAGAGAATAGTGAGATGCTTACATGAGTCTCTGGTAGGTGGCATCTTGATACGACTGGTTGGTGAGGTAGGGCACATACACCATTTTGAAGCGCTTGCACTGCTGGGCAATAATGTCACACACAGTGAAGTGCATGATGTCTGATTCCACTCGCTCCTCCAGTTTTGTCAAAAAACTAAAACCAAGATTTAAAAAAAAGAACTTGAAGGACTTGTAGCACTTTGCTTGAGGAGCAAAGCACAAATAGCTTTATGACCATGTGATGTGTGCTCTATTCAGACAGATAAACCCACCTGAAGATAGAGCACGATAAAAATTCTGATAAAACCTGCTCCACCGAGGTCAAATATGTCTTACCTGTGGCTGATGGCACGGACGTCAGCCAGCCTTGAGAACAGCCAGTTCCTGTCCTGAGTGGTGAGCAGCGCCCCCAGCTGTTTGGCCTTCACAAACTGGTCAACAACTACGTCCAAACTTCGGCAGTAGGAGGCCTCAGAGGTCACTACCTCAAATCTAACCTACACGGCGAGAAAAAAAGATAAAGTGAAAACCACAGAGCAAATGACATCAAACAAGCACACAGCCGTCAATTCTCCGAAGTCGGGCAATTTCCAAATAGTGCGATTTTGCAACGCGTGAAAATATTCCCACTCTGACACAAGGTTTCACATTCACATAAAAAAAAAAAAAAGAAAACTAACAAGACATAGTAACATCTTTGTGCAATCTTCTGGTCAAAAACATTTGTCTGTCAGTACAAACTGGATCAGAGGGAAGTTTAATGATCTGTTATGTGGTAGTGTGAGGTGTGAAGTAATCCCAGTGTAGCAGTGATTCACAGGCGTTTCCCATTAATGGCAGTTAAACGAATCATCAGGAAATCTGCTGATAGGAAACAATGTGCAAAAGAGTCCCGAGACTTTCTTTACTAAGGGCGAGCAGAATGGGGATGAAAATAGAGAACATGGAAAACAAAGATTACAATTTGCAGGACCATTACTGATGGCATTCAACAGGGCTGACTGGAGAAAGCCGGAGGCATCAGGAATGTGACGCTGAAATTCCTCAGTATCAACGTGGCAGACGTGTAACGTGTAAAACTAAAACTAGTCCAAACTTTTCATCTTAATTCAAAAGAATCCCGTGGAACAAGTGTTAACTTGTACCATGTGAGGGCTCTTATGAGAGCACACTGTCATATTCATGCAGTGGTTGCAGTTAGTTATGTGCTGACAGTTACCTCCTGTAGTCGAGTCTCATCCTCTCCAAGCTCCCCCAGCTCAGAACTGTTTCTAACCGCCGGCAAGTCCCTCCACAATGTGGCCGACTGTGTGAGGCTGATGGACAGACGTGGAGAGGAGGGCCTGCCCTCATTCTTGGGGGGCTCTGGAAGAGGCAAGCTTTTGCAACTAGTGATGGAGTCTTTATGGGAAAAGGAGTGGGGGTGTGGGACGGCGGGGAGGGGAGGAAGAGGCCTGCGGGCAGGAGGAGGTGAGGGGGCAGGGGATGGGGTATGCTCCTCGCATACGGACAGGACATCAGAGCGGGACTGGCGAAGGATCTCGATGTTCTGGGCTGCCTCGCTGTACTGCTGGTAGAGCGGGGAGGCATCTGGTGCAAGAAGAGGAAGGGAGACAAACAAAAGGGGGCAGAGGGAGGGAAGACAGGGGAGAAGTGTGTTAAAACATACAGGAAACAAAGGAAGTGAAACAGATAGCAGCAGAAGACTGTCAGCCGCTGGGTGTTTGCATGATAGCGTTCCTTTTGCACATACTTGTCGGAATGCAAAGTCAGGGTAGCTGCTGTTTTCTCCACGAGTTTGTGGAAATGAGAGCTTGCAGAAACCTGTCTGTGGCTTGCACAGACACACACCTACAAAATTCCCACAAACACTTCTTTCTTATTTTTCGTGCAATAGCCCCATGAATCATGAGGGGGGAAAAGGAGACGACTACAGTTTTTGATTGTTTAAAGAAGTTTCTGATCAGATAACTGCTCTCTGCTGTTGAAATATGAGCATAGTCGAATTAGCTACTGATCCGGTATTCACAAAGGTGTGAATCATAAGCAACGAAGGGAAATGCTCAACAGTTTCTTTTTTCCCTCATCTGCAGTCAGAGCAGATATGATCAGAAGACACGTCATTTTGTCCATGTAGTCTTTTCTCATCGTCATTTTTCAGAAGAACACAAAAATAAAACTCCCCAAAAGCATTCATTTGAATCAACAGGCTTTGGCTTTGAGGAAAGCAAGAAAATAGAAAGGTAAACCAAAATTACTCACTGAAAATTTTTGAATTCCTCTTCCGCCTTTCGATCGTGTCCAAAACGTTTCTACAGCAACAAGAAAGAATGACTTTAAACAGACTTGTTGAAACGTGGCTGACAGTCTTTTTCAAGTGCTAAATATTTCATTTTAGCTTTGAATGACACTTGAAAACACTCTTCAATTTAGAGCACAATTTAAGGGGTTTGTCATCAGGGAAACATATTTAAAAATTTAAAGAATTTTGTAAATCTTGGAGATTTATGATTCTTTCACTTACCTCAGCTCCACTTCTTCCCAACTTTTGCTTCGATCTTCCTCCTCATCTGGAATGAAAAGGCGTCCATTTGTAGAAACGTCATACAAAAGCATATCCCTCCTCAATGTATGCCGATGGATTTATTGTATTTCAGTAAGATGTTACTTATGAAAATGTAAAGATGATAGGAGTAAACAATCATTTGAATAATAAATTAACCAGTTAAATGTTAGTTGAATTAGTAACCCTGCTCCAACTGAAGAGATTATAGTGTTTGCAGTAAGTCCTGCTTCTCGTGTTGTCTCATGGCTGGATTAGCGGCAGCCTTTTAACTCACACCTCTGGGTTTCCCTTGCTTTCTCCACCTCGATTCATTTCCACCCACTACCTGCAACCACAACACTGTGACGCACTTTTCAGTTTGGTTGACGCATGGTGTTTAGATCAGAGCACTGATTGTTTTATATATGGTAAAAGAACATTTAAAAAAATCAAGGTTTGAATGTACAAAAAAAGACCACTAAGACTAAAACAGAGAAGAAGTGACGAAGTGATTGAAGTATTAAAAGATTAATGTGATTGAGTCATTTGATTTGGCATTGTTCTTATGTGAGCGATCAAGTCTGAAATGTCAGTCGGATTTGATTGGATTGATTTTCAAGTCCGACTGACCAGAAGAAGAGACAAGTTAAAAGGGGGTGAGGTAATTTTGCAGCTTCGCGAAGAGACTTGCTGATTTGATCCTCTCCCGGTACCTTGCCTTTACCTGTTGGTGGGAATACTCTGGCTCTGCGATCCCTTCCAACACCCTCTTCTTCTTCTTCCTCCACTCCTTGAAGCTCTCCGTTTCTTCGCTCAGTGGTCTTACGAATCCCCCTTCTTCGTAAGCGAGCTTCAGGACCCAAATCCCGAAAACTGCAGGAGCTTTTCACAGTCACCTTTTTCTTTTCACCTACCACCTCTCCATATTCCACCTTCGTCTTCCCCGCTTGCTCGGGGACACCACTATCCTCAGGCTCCTCTCCCTGTCTTTCCTCTTGGCTCTTTCCCTCTTTAGGTGGGGTGATCAGGTCAGAACCAGAGTCAAAATTAAGAATGGGGCAGCTGTTAGGCTTGTAGAGTGTGTTGCTCACACTTAGGTACATTTCCACCTCTTTTTCTCTTTCTTGTAACTCAACCAAATCTGCTTGTTCTGACTGAGCTGAAGCGTCAGTGTTTTGGTCCGCAGTGTGCTCGTCCTTTCCTCCTGTGCTAACCAGTGTGTCAGCATGAGTGTATGTAGGTGTTACAACATGCATAGCGTTCACCTGGTCTGCATGCATGTCAGCGTGGCTCTGTCCCATACCTCTAAAATCCTCCATCAGATCTTCCTCTGGCTCCAAGTGCTCCACATCCTTGGTCAGTGTGACACCAGACGATTCTGTTTTGGTCCCCGACTTGTTGCCCTCTCGATCCTCCTGTGTGTCTGTGTTTGGTTCTTCCGCCTCATGTTCTTCTGATTTTCCCAGGATCTCGCGCACCACATCTTTCGCCCATTTGAGGTGGGGTGCTTGGGAATGCCGCTTGGGCTCCTCAGAGATGCTCCAAGCTCCACTCATTCGGATCCGAATGGCTTCCAGCTCCTCTGGACTCATTGTTTCTGTGTTTATCTGATCCAAGAAAGGCTGAATCTCCTCCAAACTGCCACAAGACTTAAGACTGAGGGAGGGATTATTTGAGGCAGGAGAATTTTTTGCTGTTGGTTCTTTATTTTTCTCTCTCCATTCTTTGAGGAGTCTTTCAGTCTGTGAGTCTCTTTTGATTTTTGAGAGGTGGGGCTCCACTTCCTCGCTCTTTGGTTCCTCTCCGGGTTCTGCACCCCGAAGCTCTGATGATACTCGATGTGTAATGTCCCCCTCAGATGCATCTCCAGAGGCAGGTGTCTCCTCCTTGGGTGTGCAATGGTCACCTCCGGTTTGTTGGTCACTTACAGTCAAGGGTGGGTCATCATTTCTTTTTGATGTCAGATGCCAGTCATCTGAAGGCTTATGCATGAGGTCCTCCCTATTGTGAGTCTGAGTTTCTAAATTTGTTCTCTCTCCTTCTGCTCCATCCCTCTCACTTCCCAGTGACTGTGACATCTCCCTGGTTCTTTGCCCAATTACACAGAAAACAAACTTTGGCTTCTTTTCCCTTCCTTGTTCCTCCTCATCAACTGATTCCTCCTTTTGAAATGTCCACTCTTCTTCACTCTGTCCATCTCCTTCATACTGTTTGAAGCCAGAAGGTGTGAGACTCTTATTTCCACCTTCCCACATTTCCTGACAGTCCTTAAACTCCTCTTCATCATCTCCCCCTTCGTCCTCTTCATCTCCACCACTGGACGGGGTCACAAAGCCGTCCTCCTCTGACAGCACTCTGCCACTGTCTGGCTTCCACTCGGCCTCACTTCCTCCTTCACTCTCGGAGCGGGCCCAGTAATCGCTCCCACCCTCTTCCTCTCTGTCACTCTCCTCAGTGTTATCTGTCAGGTTCTCTCCCTCTACATTCCTCTGTCGGCTACCCACCATCCCTCTGTCACTGTCAGAGAGATGTTCCATCCCTGTAGTACCTCCCTCTCTCAATATTTGACCCTCCTCTTCCCCATCCTCGCTTAACCCCACCAGGTCTCCCCTGTACTCATCTCTCCCTGCAGGCCTGCCTTGATGACTGATTTTGTGGCCCTCATGTGGTTCCCCTTTTGCTCGCCGCTCATCTCTTCCCCACTCTGCCTGGGCCTCCATATTCCCCTTCTCTTCACTCCTCCTCTCTTTCCGCCTCGTCTGCCTCTCTCTGTCTACACATTCGTCTTTACTATTCCTGCCCCTCTGTGGCTCTAACCACATCCTTCTCTGCTCTGGTAGACTGCTTATCATTTCTCTTCCATCTCTCTCCTTTTTCTCACTTTCTACTCGCTGCCTCTCCAGGCTTGTAAAGTCTCTCGGTCCCTCTTTGCTTCTTTCCCGGTCACCTCTCTTCTCTCTCCCAGCTGCCCTCCTCTCATAAGTGTCTCTTCTGTGTTTCGTTTCACTGTCCATGTCGCTGCTCCACTCTCCGCTGCTCTGGCCTCGTGGCAGCGCTCTTGGAGCCGAGTCACTCAGGGTCCCGCTTTCTCTACCTCTTCTGCCTTCCCGTATCTCTATGTCTCTTCTCTCCTCTCTGTATCGATCATCCTCTCTCCTGTAATGTTTTACGCCCCTTCCGCTTTGCTTCCATCTGTCCCCTTCCCTGTCTGGATATCTGTCTTCTCTTCCATCAGCCTCTCGGTACCTCTCTATTCTGTCATCTCTTTCTCTTCTCCTGGATTTGTCCACGTCTCTTTCTCTGTATCTCCGTCTATCTCGATCCCTGTCGCTTGAGATTTTGCCCCTGTTGTCCCCCTCGCTTCTGCTGAACTGATGGAACAACTCATCCCTGTCTTTGTCCCTCATTCTCTCTCTCCTCAGCTCCCTCTCATCACTGTCTCCCTCACTTCTTGCGTCTCTCCTTTTCTCTCTCCTCTCTCCCCTCTCACCTTCTCTTTCTGGTCTCCTGTGTGGGGAATTCCTTCTAACTTCTCTCACCTCCATGTCTCTTTTTCTTGCTCCATCTCTTTCTCTAATGTCCCTCAAGTCAACCCCTTCTCTGATCCTGTCTGGTGGCTGAACAGAAGATGCTTTATATCTTTCCCTTTGCCAGGATCTCTCATCATCAGTAGATTTTCCTCCAGGATTTCTTCCTTCTTCCCTAACCCTGCTACGGATGTCATCCCTTTCTCTTTCTCTGTACCTCTGTCTTTCTCTGTCCCAGTCCTCCATCTCTCTACCTCTGAAGTGATCTGTCTGGTTCATTTCACATATTTCTTCAACCATCTCGGCTGAGCTGATCCTTTTCCTCTCGTGGTCAGTTTTGCCTTTTCTCATTCTGGGAAATGTGTCACCTTTCTTTTTCCCCCTCTCTCTGTCTTGCACGATATCCTTCTTTATGTGTAACAGTGGCCTTGAGTTTTTGCCTCTATCATCCTCTTGCCTCCTCTCTCTCTCTCTCCACTCTTTGTCTCCATCTTGGAGCTGGGGAGCAAAAGTCCGCTCTCTCGCATGTCGTTCCAGACTGTCCATTTCTCTGTGCCTGGCTTTGTCTCTCACTGTGTCCGTCTCCCTTCTAATGATCTCTTCTCGTTTGTTTTCCCTTTCTTGTTCCAGTGAAGATATCATTTTGGACCCGGCGCTTGAATCTTGGAAGCTTCTTCCACCCGTCTGGATCTTGTGATTGTCGGTCTTAAAGTTAAATAAATTGTCAAAGAGGTTATGGCTGGGCCTTTTGGTCCCCATAGTACCATAACTCGAAGTGACCTTAAAAAAAAAAGAGAGAATTTGTCAGTTTAACAGAATACAATTCAATTCACTATCAGGGACAATTTGTTGGCCTGTGGGTGATTATTAATGGAATTTCAGTCATTTGCAAAGCTGCGTAATGTTCGGTTGAGTTTTGCCTTTCACCCATGAAAACAAAACATAATCCAAAGAAGTTTTTAGCTGCTGCAGTTTAGTAAAAGCATATTCAATTGCATATTCAAAGCATATTCACCAGAGTAAAGGTGGCACCCTCTTCTTATTTTTTAAGAATGCAGCACTGACGTGCTAAAGGTAGCATACCAAGAGTGTCTTTCAGAAAGCAGTGGCCTATGACACATAGGCAAGGCATGTAGCATGTTGTGCTGAACAAAATCTAAATTTGTGCTGAAATCAGAAGCAATTTACAGAAGTTAAGACATTTCAGAGTGACTCACCTGAAGTTGTACACTGGGGAGAAATGGTCTCCCCCCGCTCCAGCTCAGCTCAAATGCATGGGATTGCCCAACACTGAAATTTAATTTCTTGTGTTGACATTGTCTGAGAGACACAGCAACCGTCCTCCTTGTTTTCAAATGAATCTCAAATATCCTTCTCTTTTTCTTTCATTCCTTCGAGTCTTGGGTAAGGTTCATGTTTACGCCTCGGTTCTTCTTGCTTTTCTCTCTTGTTGCTTCTTTCTGTGTGTCTCCACCTCCTCTCCTTCCTCAAATTCCCAAACAAGTCTGAACAGATTGACACTTATCTTTCCCCACCTCTTTCTCTCAGTCTTGTCGCTGCTGCTGCTGCTGAACAGGGAGATCTCTCACAAACCAAACAAAAGTCCTGAGTGTTGGTCCATTACTCTCGTCCCCTTTACTGCTAAATTGATTGCCTGTGTGGACCCCCTATGGCAAAAAACAAGTACACAAATCTCTCCTCTTTCCTGTCCTATTCTTCTCTCACGACACACAGGAAGTACACCTCCTAAGTATGTCTCGGTGATTGGCTGATATGGAGTGGCCGGGTGTGTCTGCACAACACACACAGTCAAGGTAAGGGTTGTGATAACACAAGAAGAGGGGGAGGGGAGAAAGAAAGTGAGGACTGTGAAACTACAGGCTCTGAAGGAAAGCTCACTAAGACCTATAAAAACTTCCCTGCATTCCCTTGAGAGGTTTTGCAGTGGAGAGAGAAAGGAAAACACAGACTGTTTCTAATGACTGAAAATACCTAAATGAGGCAATCAGCAGAGGAGGACAGCAAGGGAGGGGTGGTGTTCAGGGCTGATAGTGAATGATTTGTTAAACAATGACAACTATGCTGATGAAGTACCCAGGGTTGAAAGTTTGGAAGTACTATGACTAAGGCATATTTGCATTGCTGAGTAGGTTAAAAAAAAAGAAAGACCAATAAAAGTACTTGTAAGAACACTGACATTTAAGTTCAATAAAAAACATTTTTGCATGTGACTGATTAAACTGGACTTTCAGCATGCATAGAATATATAGTGCTGTGTAGTGCTCGCCTGAGAGTGGACATGCAAGTTACTCAAATGTGGACAAACACACAGATAACGCATTTTGGGTTCATGTCAGCTCTGTATATCCAGACTTAAATTAGTCGAGGCATATCCACATCTTTCAAAGTTCCTCCTTTTAATCCATCTTATATAGATGAGGACTTCTATTCTCTAATTCAGATGACAGCTTTTCTCGTGGGTTTATGTGAAGGAACGTATGGCCACATAAACTGTTGATTTAGACTAACGGTTGTGCCTCAGGCCAGTACACACTGGTGGACTGTTGCATTTTGCTGAGTGGCATTTCTTACAATTTACTCAACCTGTTCATATCAATAAATGACTTTAAAGGAACTGGGAAATGAGTGACTAAAATGTTACCGCGTAGAGCTCAAACCACACCTTTGTTTAAATGGATGCCCATTAATAAAGATAGTGGTTAAAATAACTGATTTAATAACTTCCTTCAAGAAGGCTGACTATCTCACAGCAATCATACAAAGTCAAATGACCAACTTTTATATTTCAGCTAAATTTACTCTTTCTTTAGAGTAAATTGTAAACATCTGTTATTGTTGGAAAACTGTGAATCATTGTTTCAGAGAGCACGTGTATTTACCTAGAACTACTTTTCAGATAATAAGGTTAAAATAGAGAAGAATAAACACTTAACAAAAATCCTGCTGATCACTAAGCAAGTGCTCTCTGCTGTGAGTAAAAGCCTGACATTACAGTTCCCTGAAATTAAGCAACCATAAAGAAGTAATCTTGTCAATTAAAAACTTCCAAAAAGTTGACTAAATGTTTCTGAGTATAGGAATGGGGCCAAAAGATCAGCCTGATTAAAATAAGAAAAACCTGGTCTCAGGTTTATAATGATAAATTGGAGACAGGAAGTATGGATGACTGTCTGAAAAAAAGTCTTGCTTTGCTGAGTCACTTGAAAAATGCTGCTGCAATTGGAAACAGTGCACAGGATACAGTTGTATTTACTTTGTAAGACCTTTAACTCTCGTTTACACTTGGGGCTATTTGGCTGATGAGATCAAAAGTTTACAGCACTCAATAGGTGTGAAGGCATTCAGGCTGCATTAAGCTTGCATTCATATTCAATCTGTCACACATTACTCAGAGGTAATCTGGAGCACTCTGTGTCCCAATCCAAAAACTGTCTGAATGCAAATCAATCCTTAACTATGTTGATGGAGAACCAAACATTGCTTTTTGTTTCCAAATGGAGATTCTCTTGCTCTTCTGTTTTCTAAGAAAGAATATTTTCAGCTAAAACAGTTTTCAACATCCCAGAATGTATGATTCACAGGAAACGTCTTGCTGTGTTTCATTGTTTCCCCGAGCTGATAGAAGCCCATATATGTACTGTTTTTGCCCTGCTTCTTTCGTTGCTTCTTTGAGTCAGATTTTAGTGGATATTCCCTCAAATGTCTAGACCCAAGCCACACAGAATCACACTATATGCACCTTACACCCTTTTTTTACAAACCGCAATACTGTATGATTAAAACCATCTGGTCTTCACAAGGTATTAAATTTAGATACAATCTATTCATATTAAACCTCAAATTAATTAGAGGTTTTACATTTGTCCCCAAGCAAAGCTAAGGTTAAGGATTATTGACTGGTGAGTGTTTGCTAAAAATAATATGCAAGAAATATCTATTCATATTCAAAACATCCAAAGAGGCTTACTGACAAATTAATTACACAATTGTATTATTGGTCCTTGTGGATTTGAAGGGGTTCAGGTATAAAATTGTTGCCTGCATCAAGATTGATGTACATTTGTCTTTCAAAGTCCCAAAACTTATAATAAATTTATTTCTGTAAGTTATTTTTGTTACGTTTATTTTTACATATAAAGCTGATATCTTACCACTGCATAAATCATATTTGGGGCTGCCATCTAGAACACCTCTTCTTAAGCACACTCAAGTTTTAAAGTCTGATATCCTTGTAAACGTTGCTGGTGTTGCTGCACTTCCATGAATGGCAATACATCGGATAGTAATATACAAATTTGTGAAGCAGAATCACAAAATCAACACATAAATCAAACTAAAACAGTTAATCGACTGTTGAGCCCTCCAGCTCTCTGGTGACGTTCACTTGTAGCTTCCTGGTCAGCTGATGCAGATGTGAGGGGCTGATTGGTCACCCTTCAGTTAGACTTTTGGTCACATGCGCGTGTGTCTGTGTTTGGTTTCACTTCCGCACTCTTCAGCTCTCCTTAGCTGGTTAGCTTTCTAAGTGGCACAAAATAAAATTTCCAAGAGACCGTGCAAATTTCCCAGAATAAAGACATCGTTGTCAGTTTAAATATCCCGCTTCGTCGGGATTAAGAGATGAAGAGTTTGTGTGTAAAATTAAACAGCTGCTTTAATGATAATTGAATCCATCAGGAAGCGACGTTAGCGCGAGGAGGCTCATTGCAACTTAACCGGCTATATTTCTATAACCAGTTTGTGTTCAATCGTGTCAAACAACGACGCCTTTTCCAGTGATTTACAGTAAAAAGAAGTCATGAAGGTAGGTGCCGAGCCTTGGCAGAGGTTTTCGTTTTTGCGAGGGTGCCTTGATAACTGTCCTCGGTTAAAACTTGTTTCTTCGTGGAGAGTAGCAGACATTTTGCATGCACACTTATTGCATATAAACGTTTCTGAATAAGTTTCGCAACTTCTTTTCCAGTCACATATCGATGACTTATTTTTCTAACTATTGCACATTGTATCTTACGCAAAGGTGACTTATCCATCACGAAAAGCTTAAGAAAATCTAACCACATTATTGTACCTTGTCAAAATGATTCATTACTGTATGTAAGATGTGATTAATTGTTTTCTGAGAAACCCTTTAGAAATATTATCAACCTAAAGTAAACCTGAAAAAAATAAATACATGTTAGCAAGTACCAGGTCACAGATGCTAAATATTAACCCTGGATAATATTCAGTTGTTTTATTATTATTAAGTTTAGGGGTTCATCATCACTACAGTTTAATGTAAGAGTGTTTATATTTCAGGATGTTGTCTGTTTGTTTTTTGCGTCTACCAAAAAACAGATGAAAATCCTCATATGCAGTCTAGTACAAAGAGCTTGAGCCAAACCAGCTGACTTTCATTCAGATTTTTTAGTGTTCTCGAAAAAAGAAAACTCTTAGGGGAACTCTTCAGACCCACGTCTTATAAGAGCATTCCCTGATCTAACTTTTACCTATAACTCTATACCCCCTTTACTACTCTTCCTGTACTTCCCTCTATCTCTTTGCTGTCAGCACTGATTCTGACTTGGGATTTTCCTCTAAAGAGCTTATTGTCAAATTGCTAACTGTAACATTGTGTCTACTTTGTAAGTTGCTTTGGATAAAATCATCTGCTAAATGCATAAACATAAACAAAAGATTCTTCACTCAATTCCTAATTCAGTTGTTGTTCAAGACCATTAACCCCCCCCCCACACACACACACACACACACACACACTTCCCTAACCTATTAATTATTCAATGAAAAAAGCACATAGCTCAGGGGCAGAATTCGTGCTTTAATTTATTAAGTTCCAGCGACAAAAAAACACTGATTGTAACACTGAATGTTTTTGCCTGGCATATATCAGCATTATGTGTAATTTATCTTTTTTCTTAAAAAAAAAAAAGAAAACATTATCAGGAACCAGCAGGAAAATTGACAGGTAAAAGAAGATAAAACAATGTGAAGAAAAAGTTTGAGATGTCTTTCAAGAACCTTTCCTGAAGACTACTTAAAGAGATGACTAAACACTTTCCTCAGTGGTTTTCGGGATGGATGACGGTGCTCATGCTATCAATATAAATATTGACTCAATTACTTAAGGATTATACAAACAGTGTTTTTGCATAATTACATTTGTCATCTTTACCTGGCCGTATGTAAGAAGAAATTAGGTGTGGCTCAAGTGTTCTGCGCAGCACTGTCAGTGCACGCAGATTTTCTGACCTTTAAATTAGCCATATGCCGCTTGTACCTATTGTTTATAAACTGTGTAATCAATTTTTAAAAAATCTAAACATGTGTTGCAGGTTCTTAGTTTTCCCAGAAGAGGTTCCATCCTGGTGTGGACCTTGGCGATCCAGCTGGTTCTGTGTAGAAGTGTTGTGCTCGCTACTAACGGTACCAAGGGCTGCAAACTGCTGTCCGAGTCTCCGTCTGAGAGGAATTTCCTCAATCGATTAGAGCCACTCAGTAACAAGAAGTAAGAAATGATTCAGCTGTGTAGCACAAGCTTGGCATTATGCTGTGCGGGTTGACACTAAACAACTGGGAATTAAATTTCGAAACACACATTTTGCCTGATTGTTCTCTGTCCATCAGTGCTGACCTCTTTTTGCCACTTCAGTTGCGTGCAGTTTTACGCTAAACAGATTTTTTTGTCTTGCATCGTCAGCATTTCGGTGGATACCATGGTTGATGAAGAGAGCTACACATATGTGTTCCAGTTGTGTGGGGATGCAGGGGGCGTTCCCGGAGCTGGACTTATTCAAATAGACAAGAAAACACCACCGATAACAACAGTGATTGGCCGGTATGAGTCAACCAAGGTCATCGCAGGAAGTAAGAACCAGCAATATATACATATTTCACATGTGTTCTTTTTAAAAAATATATTTTTTCTTTACAAATTTTCCTTTAAGCAACTTTGTTCTGGTCCACTTTTTAATACGCATCCGTCGTTGCATTAGCGGCACACTAAGCGCGTGATACATCTGGGGTTTCAGGGTTTTAATCAATCTATTGATCAGCACTTTGCTCCTCTTTTAGGTGACTGGGTTATGTTGATCTACAGTGATGGGGACAGTTATGATACCCACTGCTCCAAGGAAAAGAGGAAATCTATTGTTATGATCTCCTGTAGCAGAAGTACAGACATGGTAAAAGAAACAAAGATGTCTTTCACATCACCAGATTTGAGTTTGAAAAAAATGTTGAGCATTTGGAAACAAAAAGCCCCTGAGCTGCATTAGTGATGGGTTGTTGCTAAATGTGAATGGAGCTGACACTGCTGAATGACATTTCCATAAGTTTTAAAGCACATCAGACAACACCTGAGAAGTATATCAAACAGTGACTTTTTGCATTTCTCTTGTTGATCCTTTTTTCCCTTTGTCTTTTCCTAGGGTAAGCTGGAAGTGGTTATGGAGGACAGGGACAGGGATCGTGAATGTTTTTACCTGTTCGAGTTGGATGCCATGGCAGTGTGCCCGATCATTCCATCCAAGCTCAGTGCCGGCTCCGTTTTGCTCATCATGTATGTGAAGATAACATATAATGGCACAAAAGCCCTCAACGTCAGGCCACACATGACTCAACAAGCAAATAGTGATGATTTGCTCTTCTCTTCTAGTGGTTTCTGCCTTCTGGCTGTGTACCTCATTGGAGGTTTCCTCTACCAGCGTCTGATCGTTGGAGCCAAGGGGTTGGAGCAATTCCCCAATTATGCTTTTTGGGTGGAAGTGGGGAACCTCACAGCCGTAAGCCCGATCAAATTGATTGATCAGTTTTGTTTGAGTTTTGCAAAACTTCCAAACAATCTTTTCTTCTTCCTTGCAGGACGGATGTGACTTTGTGTGCCGATCCCGAAGTCGAGAGAAAGCTCCAGAATACAGGGGAGTGTCCACAGATGCCTTAGAGGAAGAGCCAGAAGAAAGAGATGACCACCTTTTACCAATGTGACCTCAGAACAGGGCAGAAACTTTTTACTGTGTGACACAGGTTACTTTTTCACAGCTTATTGGTACACACGCGTCTGTTTTCTTTGCCTGGTCTTAATCAGTCACTGCTAACACTTTCTGGACTTGTGTCCAGAAGGCGGGCATAACATTCACAGGCAGACAGATGTGTCTACTGTTACATATCTCCTAACGCAAACAAACTATTCAACCAAAATTATGACGTAAAAGTAAAGTCTCTTTCATGGAAATCTGGCTTAAAAAAGGAGAAAAGTTTGAATTTTGTCAGAATGTGGTGTTTTGATCATCTTCTGCTCAGCTGTTGTGCGTTTTGTGACGGTGTAAGATGCAGCGACCAGCCGAACGTTGGCCACTCCTCGCTGCCGCTTGCACAGCACACCACTGGTCTTGCTTTTGTGATTTTGGCTTAGTCAGTTTACATTTTCTTTTGACAGATATTACGTGAATGCAAATGTTTAAATGTATGCACAATAACTGTACTCGCAGCCCTGCTGTGCAAGTAGAAATCACTGCAGAAAACCAAAGGTTAGGATACTGTTCTTTCTTCCAAGAAAAGCATCTGCATCTCTTCTAATATCTTAGAACTGTCTGTCCTCCTATGTTTTCATCAGAGAGGCATCGTCATAAATTAAACTGACAACATTTCCACCCGGTTTATATTAAGACATGAATTGTTAACAGTGAAACGGAAATCATTTTGTTCATAAGTTAATGTTTAAAAATAAGATGTATACATCCTGTTATTTAGAGAGAATGAATAAACATGAACTGCAATCCACACATGTTGATAGTTCTAAAACTATTTGATAATAAATAAAATACAAATACTGGCCTGCCAGCCTACATTGTTCTAAAGAGCCTGAAAAAGTGCTGCATGAAGCTGCTGTTATTTTCCGTGCACTCATGTTTGACCAAATATTTTATCCACTTTATCGCTTCTGTACTAAAACCCACAAGGTAGCAATGACAGCATTTTTCTGTGGTCTTCCTGTATCCATATAGTTGTGATCATGTTCCAATTTTTAGGATACCATTCTTGAGATTTATGACATTTTTTACAAAAATACATAATGATGCTGCTGAGGAAAAAATGTACCTTTTTTAATTTGATGCAAAAGTGGATATGCAGTTTCAATGAATGACATCACACTTACATCTGCTTAATCTGGTTTGTTTTGGTCACTTTTGTTTTGATATTTCTTTGTTTAGTTCAGTGAACTGTGCCCTGGACTATCTTGTAGAAATGGTTCGACCTGTGGTTGGAGTGGGTAGAAAAACATCCCTGTTGGTTTACTGTTGCAGTACCTTTGTCTTGAATTACAAGTAATAGAGCTTTCTGTTTGTTTTGGATTCTATTAAAGATAAACCATAAACCTGGTTAACATGTGTGTGTTATCATGGTGAACTTACAGGCCCATTTTCTTATTTTTATGTATTTAGCAGATGCTTTTATCCAAAGCGACTTACAAAGTAGGGGGCCACCGAGAGAAGAAATCGCTTTGGGAATTTGTCTGATAATTAACAAGCATACACTGATCACAGATCTGACTTGCTTGTGACATTCTTGCATTTCATTTGCCGTCCAGTTATGAAAAACACAGGCACTGCTAAGCATCTCCGTTACATTTCCTTCTCGCATTGTTTATTACTGCCATCTTCTGGCCTCTTAAATCAGCATGTCTTCTCCTGATAATCTAATACACACATAATATTTTTCTTTTCTTTCGATGGGATGTTTCTAAAAGTTACATAGACTGTCCAAATACACACTATGCCACAGATACCTTGCACTAAGTCTACCATAGGTCAAGATTTGTACATGTGTAAGCAGTGTTTAATCAACTTATGCAGCAGGAGTCATTAATTGCTATAAATCAAATTTTGTGCCTAATATTTGAGGCACTTTTTTAATGTAAATTTTTGGTATACCAACATTAAGAAAGGTTTTTTAAATTATTTCGAATTTTACATCAGTATATCAAGAAACATGTTCAATAAGGTGTGCTTTTAATTCACACCAAAGGATGAGGTGTTTCAATTTTCTTTTTAAAGCTATGTAAAGCAGAAATTATAAGTTGATGATTAGTTTAAAAAAAAACATTAATCAGTGACCGAATTTTGTTTCTATACTCACTTGAGCATTTACAAAAAGTTCTGCATTTCACCAGCCTTACTTTGTGGTGGCTTTTTCCTCTAAACTCGGGCAGCGCCTGGTCAGTCCTTCAGTGTAGTCCTCCGCCAGTGGACACAAAGAAGAAGAAAAGGACTGGAGAGGGGCGGGGCTTCGTTGGAGGCAAAAGCTCTGAAAGACTCTGTCGTTGTTGGCAAGGAAAACCAACACTCAAGTTGCAAGTTAGCAGAACTTAACTGCAAAGAAGACACGCAATTACCCGAAGAGGTAAGCAGATATACATGCAAGCAGAAAATAAGAAGCATAAAATAGCAAGCATTGGCGTCCTTTGGGGGGTAAAGTTACTAGCTTTCTACCTGCAGAAAGCAGCTAACATGCTAAGTAGTTAGCCTGTTTTTAACTACCACCTAACGCATCTTTTGTTCCACTGTAAAGTAGATGTAGCAATTGCACTCGTAGACAACTGTTCCAGTGCAGCTAAAATACCTTAGATGTGGTCTGTCAAGGGGATTTGGAGATTTAAACAAGCATAAAAAATCCACAGGAGTTAGCCATGAATTGATAATTAGCCTCCCCTGATGTTTTGAACTTTTCCTCCATGTTGATCTTTCTCTCGTACCCATTTATCATGTTGACAACTGGATTGCAAATGAAAATACCACAATACGTTAAGTTACATTATGTGTATAAGACACAGTTGGATGTTAGTTACACCTTTGTGCACTATTTAAGGAGCTGTGTTAAGGAATAAGTAGACCAATGCAAATGGGAAGTTAATACACAGCAAACTTTGAAGGTACACTTCACTCCGTGTACTTAAACACAGTCGTTCAGAAATCTCACAAAGCTTTTTATCTGCTTATCAGACAATAGTTGCATCGGTTTATTTCACGTGACTTCGTATATTTTTCTTGTACCGTGATCATGTTAAGTACAACCACACTGATGTTAACCACATGTGCAATAAGCTTCATGTTTGATGACTGGTGACTTTTTGTGTATGTCTGTAGAGCACAGGCAATCTGTGACAACTCCTGAAAAGTATCCTTTTGAGATTGCAAACATGGATGGAGGGGAAGACCAAAACACAAGCAACACCAATGGAAATCCTCAGACAAGTGGGAACTCCCGAGCACCTCAGATAGCCCGCATGTCCTTATATGAGAGGCAAGCTGTGCAGGTGAGCGCTTGTGATTATAGCCCTGACTTCTCAAAATATTAAAGAGATAAAGAGACATTTTGGCACAAGTCTTGATGTGGCTTTTTCAGGCTCTCCAGGCATTGCAGAGACAGCCTAATGCAGCTCAGTACTTCCAACAGCTCATGCTGCAGCAGCAGATCAATAATGCTCAACTCCACAACTTGGCTGCTGTGCAACAGGTATCCAGCATCGTGACAGCAACTTGCAGTTCGGACAACAATGGTAAAATATAAGTATGTATCTCAGGTCTTATTATTTCACCCTTCAAACCAGGCCACACTTGCAGCCAGTCGCCAGTCCAATACTCCAAGTAATAACATGTCCCAGGTGCCCACCACCGTAAGTTTCTATGTTAAAATGGATCATTCAACAGCCAATTTTGTCAAACAGGTTTTTTATTAAAAAGGTTGTTTTTTAATGTCCCGCACAGGTCAATCCAAGCACCGCATCTTCATGTGTGACTATGACCAGCCCTCGTCCACATGGCCCAGCTACCTCTGCCACATCAACACCTCTAAATCAGTCTGTGCTACTGGGTGGGAACTCGACAGGACAGGGACAGATGTATCTTAGAGTGAGTTCACGATCAGATTGTCCATTGTTTTTGTTGGTATCTGTTCTTATCGATAACTAGACTATGTATTCTATGTGATCTGAGAGCAGGCAAGTCAGTTTTTTTTGTGGAATACGTGTTTCACAAGCTGGAGAAATGATAAGTATAAAGAAGATGAAATCACTGATAACAGAAAACCCTCAAGAAGTTGACAGAAAATGTGCTATCACTACCTCTGCTCTCTCTTACTAGGTCAACCGTTCTCTTAGAGCCCCACTTGCCTCTCAGCTGATATTCATGCCTGGCGGTGCAACAGCTACGGTTGCAGCAGTTGCCCAGACCCAGCCACAGCCCCAGCAGCAGCAGCAGCAGCATGAAGCTGCCTCCACGGCAGCGAACGCCCAGTCTGACAGTGATCAGGTTCATGTATTTCATACATTTTCCCACATCAGTGATGTGAAATCTGTGCCACTTAAAATGGCACAATATGAGACAGAGTTTTTATGGCTTGTATTTGACTTAATTTCAGTACAATTTTTTTTTTGCTAACAAACTTCTTCCTTCTGTGTTGCCCAGGTGCAGAACTTGGCTCTACACTGTGCTTCCACCCCCAAAGCGGCTGCTGTCAAGTCTGAGCTTCCTGAGAGGAAAGATGCTGCCAGTTTTCCTCTCACTCAGCAGCAGCAACAGACTTTCCCTCAGGCTGCTCAGCAACAGCAAGTACAACAGCAAATGGCAAAACCCAGCTTTAATCAGCAGGCCGGCACCAACCCAATGACTGTCAAGACTGGAAACCAGGCGGCTATGACTGTCACTCCTGCTGCCTCGGTGGCTCCCTCCTCCTCTTCCTCGTCCTCTCCCGCACTTCCTCTGTCCCAGCTCCTTCTGTCCCCCTCTGCTGCTCCTGTAATCCTGGTTCCCACATCAAATGTCACTACTTCCACCCAGGGCTACCCGATCGGCTCAGTGACGCCAAAGGCCAACATCAACACGCAGACTCTGGTGGTGCAGCCGCTGCAACAGGCCAGCGCCAATTTAGAGAAAGGCCCCGTTCCCATCCAGCCAAAGACGGCTCAGGGCCACCGCCTACCTGTGCAGCTTCCCCCTCGACACCCGCCTCCCATTCTCCCAGCTCCACCTAGCAACAGTCAGGCCGTCACGGGGGGTCACAACCCCCCCCACATCCCCGTGCAACTGGTGGGAGCCAGGCAGAGCTTAGCAGGAAACACGCAAGCTGTGGCCTTGGCCCAGGCACGAAACAGCCCAGTCCAGGAAGGTCCATGTGGCGGGAATGTTGGCACACTCTGCAGCAGCAGTGCTGCGGTAAGACAAGATGTACCCATCAAGTCATTGGTTATGATAGATCTAACGTTACATGGATATGTAACAGTCACATACGTGTTTCTTTTTCCACATACTGTCAGTCGAAGCCTGTCATCGGCTCTTTGAAGAGAAAATCTGACTGTGATGCACCAAATGACATGACCGAATCTTCAGATTCTGCACCCATGAAGGATTCGGCTCCTCCTTTATCTCCTGCCCCAACAAAGGACTTGGGTAAGTCGCTTCACCACCTGCTTGAAAATTTGAATTACTCAGTCTGGAAAACAGTCCAAAAGTCATATTTGTTTTTTGTTTTTTTGTTTTGTTTTGTTTCTTTGGGTCCTCGACAGCTCTTTCTGTTGAAGCTGCATTCTCATCTCCCCCCACCCTTTCCTTGCCTCTGCCCATATCAAGAGTCGGGCACGGAGACAAAGACAGAGCGCCCGTTCCCCAGGCAGTGGTCAAACCTCAAGTCCTTACTCATCTCATAGAGGGCTTTGTTATTCAGGAGGGAGCTGAGCCCTTCCCTGTAAGTGCACCCTGTCATAATGATGGACAGAAACTCAAATGTTAAACTGAATAGTGGCCATTATGTCCTTTTTCATCAGAACTTTCCTACCCAAAAGCTCTTGTTTGACGTTTCAGGTCGCTGGGCTCCTCAAAGACAGAGATTTTGCCTTGGTCGGCCGCACAGAGAACGGCCCTCCATGTGAGTGATGCCTTATCTATTCATTTTAGTAGTCATTTTGCCAGTATGCTGAATGTGTTTTTCTCATCACGCCCACAGTGCTGAAGTGCGAGTACTGCGGATGTCTCGCTCCAGCCAGTCAGTTCAGAGGATCAAAGAGGTTCTGTTCTAACACTTGTGCAAAGAGGTATCAAACTTTCAGTGTCAGAACGTTTATTTATGATGCAATTTGGGATTTTACTAATTCTGGCTCCTGGGACACCCTGATCTTGCAACTAAACGCAACTACTTACGATTTATTGAGAAGCCGCTTTCATCAGAAGTGTGTCTTTTAGGACAGCTCCACAGCATGGAATGACCTCAGACTTTGTTATTTGAACAGGTATAATGTGAGCTGCAGCCAGCACTTCAAAAGCAGCAGAGGGAGAAATGCTGCTGGGCAGGCGCCCCCTCCAGCTCCCACAGAGAGCTCAGCCCGGCGCAGGGGCCCGGCACGGAGGTCAAGCTCTAATAGCACCTATAATAAGATAACAAGCAAGCATATTTCTGTCAAGGTGAGACTTTAGAAAATGTATGCCGTAATGTATTAGTTTTTTATGGCACATCGTTGTCTGAGTTACACCTTTTTATGTAGCACAATAACACAGTTGGCCTTTAGGGGCTGATGTTTTATTAGATTGTTCTGTTTTGATAACTCATTCCTGATTTTTATTTTTATTTTTTTTAATGCACACCAAAGCAGCAGGTGTGTATTATGCTTCTGTTGAGAAAATCTGCAACAAATGCACTACTCTGTCCTGTTTTTTTATCCTGGTTTACAAGCCTTAGAACCTCAGCCTGATGGACCATGTGGTTCAGCACACAGAACCATCTGGAAGCCCTTTACAGAAAAAGTCTGACACTTTAAAAGAATAGTTCTCATGAAACTATTAGGGTCATGAAATAAAACCAAGATGGCAGTTCAACAAGAGCCACCCCCCCTCCCCCAACCTGATGGTTGTAGGAAATTATGTACAGCTTATTTATAAAACATGTTTGTGACTCATCTTGAAGGTTTACATCCTCTTGCAAAACAGAGGTCAGGAGGTGTTAGATAGCGTTCAGATGTTGCAGAGTCATCTTTATGTGCTGTTGGACAGTAATGTTGAGTCGTACCTTGAAAAGTTTCAACCTATGTCTTTGTGCTTTCCTGTCTGCTGCAGTGTCACTCGGAGTCCAGCCGCTCAGAGGACGTAACCAGTGATGGGGAAGAGGAGGACGATTCTCCCTCACTGTCTCCAAGCTCCTCCAACTCCTGCACCAGAGCTGGCCACAGTGCTCCCCAGTCCGACAGCTCAGCGCCTGGGAGCCTCCCAGTAGAGGGCGCTAACTTCCTGTCTGCGACTCCTGCTCAGTGGAGTGTGGAGGAGGTCTGCAGGTTTATTTCCTCACTGCAAGGTCAGTGTTCCCTTAGATCACAGCTCATTTCAGATTCCATTGTTTTAAGCGTCTGATTTTTCTGCATGTTGAATGCTTCTCCTCGCCTCTCTGTGGCATTTAGGTTGTGAGGAGTTGGCGGCCCAGTTTCTCTCACAGGAAATAGACGGACAGGCTTTGCTGCTTTTGCGAGAAGACCATCTAATCTCCACCATGAATATCAAGCTGGGGCCAGCTCTAAAGATCTGTGCCTCCATTAACAGTCTGAGGGAGTAAAGATTGTCTCTCTTCTTAAATCTCGCTGGAATCAACACTTGGAATCTAAAAGAGTAAGACTGAGATACTCTGACCATACAGATGCTTTTTTCTTTTAACATTTTCTCCCACAACAGGGATGCCAGGTCACTCATGTGAATGTTTGTAGAAGGAGAGTTTTTCTATCCACATACTGAATGTGCAAGATACAGATTCCATACGGTTTAGTGTGAATGGTGAGTGCCTAACACAACAAACTGTCACTAGTGTTCATGCATCCTTTTCTGTCTCTGTGACTAAGAAAACTTTATACGTATATTTATACATATACACTAGAGAAACTGCAAATCTCTGAGCTCGCCAGGTTTTTGGGGGCTAAAGCAGTTCAGCTGTTGGTCAAAAAAAGAAATGTTGCCTTTTAGCTGAAATTTCTGAAGGTGCTTTAACTTTACTAGATTTGATGCCATCAGACAGTTACTTTTATATTGTTAGTATTTTTTTACAGTGCTGTTGTGTTTGTTTTTTTACAAAGTTCGACCCAGGCTTCAATCGCAAAATGACACTTGACAAGCTTGGTATTCTTTAGTAGGCTGTTTTAGCAATTATTAAAAGTTTAGTTTTGTATTTTTTCCATTTTGTAGGACAATCTGATATTTTTTTCATGGAAACTAAATAGTTTTAGTAGCTTTAATCAATTTAACTTCCTGGAAAATAGGCATTCCTCAAGGTTTCCTCTCTGAAGGGATGAACTGAAGTGCTCTTTGTACATGTATGCAGTACTATCAATAAACAGTATCTGTTACTGGACCTGCATGCCTGCCATTCATTGCACACCACCGTTGAATAAAATAAGTTTGTCCTCAGCTTTGCTGCGATTTAAACTTTTATTTATATTTGAGTTTGTGTAAACACTTCGAGCTCATTTAATGCTAATAACTGACATAAGAGTAGACACTATATAGAAATATATGGGTAACAGCTCTAATAATCTCAGTATCTCTTTAACCTTCATTTACTGATTTGCATGATTTGGCTTCATCCAAAATTGTGTTGGCAGCACATCCTTTAATAATTTACACTGGTATCCTCAAAAGGAATGTCTGAAAACCATCACATGCAGACAGGATTAACCTCAAGCAGCCGCTGTAAACCAGTCAGGTTTACAACATATTGATCTGTTACAACAATTGATCAAAACCTTGTCTGTCATAGACAAAGATACATGCCCTGTCCTTGTGGAGGTTCTTAGAATTACATAAAACATTAGTTTTCCTCTCAGTTGTCTGAATCTGGAGAATGAGAAGACACAAAGGGAACCAATTCATTGCTCAAAGCGGTCATATGTACTTTGGAACCCTTGTGTTATGTCAGAAAAATACCAATAAAAATGTAGCATCAGGGGGCGAGACTGTCGGGCAATTATGTTCTTCGGCACAGGCGGCAATCAGAGAACGGTGTAACTGTTGGTTTCCCCGTATCCTGCTTCCTTCAGGTACTGCTCCACGCTTACTGGTCCAGACGCCTTGAGCACTTTGTCAGAGGCATTTTTCTCTGCTGAAACCAGCTTTCGGCTCACTTCAGCCATGGATGGACGATCTTGATCTTTCCACTGGCAGCAGCTTTTAATGAGGGCGTGTCTAAGAGAGACAGAGGTATTTTTTAGGGGGGTTAAAAAAATGGGAAAACCTGTGATCGCAGAATAGCAACAGGTTTGAGGACACTCACAGTGCTGTGGAGCAGTTTGGGGGCTTTTTCAGACTTTTTCCTCTTTGATGGAACTGCAGCAGCTCATTAACTGAAATCTCAGCGAATGGAGCGTCACCTTGAGAGAAAAAAAAAGTGGTCATGGACCCAAGAGACTGGAGTGATTCAAGTGAATGACCATCAGGGAATTATGTTCCACATCTCTGGCACTAAAAAGGGAGACAAAAAGGTTGGAGTTCACATCTATAGCGCTCATTAATGCACTATAAAACTTACCCAAAGTTGCCATTTCATACAATAACACGCCAAATGACCAGCTAAAGAGGGACACAAAGGGAAGAGTTGTTAGTCTTTATGCTTTAGGAGATGAACCTACACAATACTGCATCAAAGTGTCCTGACAACAACATCAAAATCGGCCATTTTATTTTGATTTGCAGAAATATCTAAATCAGAAGCAACGAGAATACCTGCAAACTAATATGAAGTGTTGAGAGGAGAAAAAAGAGCTCACATGTCACTGCTCTGACTCGCAGGTCTCTTCACCAAGAGCTCTGGGGCTTGCCATTTCTTCATGCTGGGATCGTCCCTCTGACCGGCTACCTTGTTCTTTCTTGCGTAGACTCCATGCAGGCCCCAGAGCTTAGCTGTGAACTGACCGCTGACCAGCACACTCCGGGCCCGGATGTTTCCATGGAGGAGATCTTTGCTGTGAAGGAACTCCTGATTGTGCATCCAGACAGGAAGTTCAGGATTAAAACACACAGCTCTGTGCAGTAGCAGGATATTGTTGTTTCAGACACAAATTAAGACAATCTCTTGAAATTTCTAGTTTGAATAATTGTCTCTTGTAATCTATAAGGTTAGTTTAATTATCTTTGTGTAAACTGTATTTTCTCCTGTTTGTAAAGGAGAAAATAAATCTATGACAGAAAAGAAAATAACATAAACAAAATTAAGTGTTTAATAAGTGCGTTTTTTCCTGTAATTTGGCAAGTCAAACGAGCTGTAGAAGGGTAAAGATGTAATAACATTTTTATTCTACTAACCAGTGCAGAGGTCACTTGTTTAGCCATAGTAAATATTCGTCTCTCAGTCATTTCGCATGGAGGATCCACATTGTCCTGGATAAACAAGCACATAACACACATTTTCTGGTTTGAACGTTTTCTCGAATCCACTTATAGAGGAAGAGGAGCTTTTCCCTTCAAATCTCTACCTGTCTGCATCGCCACAAGTAGCTGAGCAGGTCTCTGTTTTCAAGCTCTTCTACAACGGTGACCAGGGGGGCCCGCAGTGAGACCACACCTAAGAGTTCTGGCAGGAACGGATGTGGTCCGAGCTGGGCCAGGAAGGATGCGAAGCCCAGGAAGCTGTGTCTCTCCGTAGCATCAGCCGAGTCTGTGAAAGGGTGAGAATAAACCAACGACGTTCCTGTTTTACTAAACCCCGAAGAAAGAACTATACAAATCCCAGGCCGCTTATCCGTTGAATTCTCACCATTCAGCACCCGTAGTACCACATTCCTGTTTTCCATGCGCGCCCTGTAGAGGGACACGGAGGAGTCGGAGCGCAGGGTGAAGGCCGCAGGCAGAGGGCTCACCAGGTTGAAGGACTCGGGCAGCCTCTGGCGAGGCAACTCTCTAGGCTGGACAATAGGAGTGAAACTGGGCTTGTGGGCCTCGGGCTGCGGTGGGGGGCTGGGGGTGAAAGACGGTTGCGTCACGGTCGTGGACAGGGTTTTGGTGAGGTAAGCGTTGGGGGGCTGGAAGGTGGAGTAGGAACTGGGGACATCCAAAGCGATGCTTTCATGCTCAAGTACATTGATACCTGGAGGAGCTGTAAACAACAAAAGCAGGATAAAAACATGAGAAAACCACGGTGATTAACACATGAAAAGTCATGAAACACTGAGAAACCTGTGATAACAGGTAGGTTGCTAAAAACTAAAAATGCAGCTCTGCTATATGTAAACGAATATAAAACAATGAGCAGAGGGATTTTACCTTCATAATGTAAAAACTATTTTGACTTTTGGTAAGATATGAATCTAATTCACATGCGTTTCTTAAAACTTGAATGCACAGTTTTAATTCATTGTTGCCAGATGTTGTCAGATGGACAAATGTGCACCATAGATGCAAACTTTTGAAATCTGAACTCCCCTTTTTGAACGAGAGAATGGGGCATCCTGATTTAACAAATCAGTAAAAAAAAAATAATTCTCAAATCACAGGCCAGATATGCTGTTTTATTAAACAATGGATGGTGTTATCTTTACTTCACATTGTTTTATTATGAGAATAATCTTTTGGAACACAAAACAATGTTACTTAGTTAAAAACTGTCATGAATACGGAAATGGTGAAATAAAAGATCCAGTCTTTTTCAAAGACTAGGTGAGATAAGACATTTCTATTTTTATCTGGCATTCCAGGACCTTACCATCAATGCCATGCAGCACTCTTCTGGAACTAGGCTTGAAGCTTTGTGGGCGGATTCGATCAACCCTCTCTGGGCAGAAGCGCAGCAGGAGAATGAAAACCAAAGTCACCACAAAGCTAGCCAGCAGGAGGACGGGCACCACAATCACCTCCTGCTCGTACACACGAATCTCTGCAAACAGGAACAGACACCAGGAAACGTAAATGTTCCCGCAAGTCCTAGATGGAAAGATTTCAAAGACCTGTTTGCATAGTATTTGCTGGCGTGTTTGCTCAACAGACTGTCAACCAGGGAAAATAACTCCTTAATAAGGGTTTGGAGTGTCTTACCGCAGATAGTCTCTCCGTGTTTGCAGCGGAAATCTGCCTCTGACAAAGTCGACATCCTATCAAATGTGAGAGGAGATACTGTCGTTCATTCACATTCACGTTTGTACATTCAGCTGATGCTTTTATCCAAATGACTGACAAGGACACAGAAGAACTAAATTAATTTTAGATGGTAATTTACAACGAACAGCTATAATATCAAGATTCAGCCAGGGGCTTAGAGCAGATCCTCAGATGGGTTAAATGAGCAAGGAGAAGAGACAAGTAAATATGGGGTTCAGTTGAAAGGAGTGGAAAGATAAGTTTGCTACAAGAAAGAAAACAAATACATTTCCTTTCCTTTCCTTTCCTTGTGAGCTGTTGGGACGTTCAGACTCTATCTTAGGAAAACTTTTCATGTACTTTCACAAGCGATGATGCAAGTATGCGAAAAAAACACTAACATGGTTTAAAAGAAAAAAATAAATAATGATGGCATCTTTTCAAAAAGAAGGCCACATCGCTTCGGCAGCAAAGTCTTTAAGAGTAACACGACTCTTAAGAGGTAACACAGGATGTCTGCGCAAACATGTAACTGAGACCAGGAACTTCAGGTGCCATGTCACTCTGTGTTTCTTTTTGCCACAGACCACAGCTTTTCTTTTTTTCTTTAGTCTGATTCAACATTTTTGTAGGAAAAAAAACCTACCAGGACTTTCGTAATAAATTCAAAACAAAGCGTCTTTTATGCTGTGATTGTTGTTGTTTTTTCAGATTTATTATACAGACAAAAAGAAACTCTTACCACACAAGATAATCGTTTTACGTCAGCTCTCATTTCTCCAAACCTGTT